TTGTGTGTGCGTAAAAAGATTTGTGTGTGCGCAGAAAGATTTGTGTGTGTGTAAAGAAAAAAAAAGTAAGTTTTACACACAAGTTTTTTTTTTACACACAAATCTTTTGACGCAGTCCTGCCTTCGCAGATTCGCGAGTGTAACTTGGACTGTGTGCGTGCGTAAACAGATTTGTGTGTGTGTAATTTGACATTTATATCTGTAACAGAACAATCTGTGTGTAAATAACCACGTTGTACGAAGAGAAGAACAAAAAAAGCCTAAGTGCTACGCACAGGCTCCGTTTTACACACAAATCTCTTTTTGACACACCTCTGCCGCCAAGCGTGTGTCAAAAAGATTCGTAAGTGTAATGTGGTTGTTCTAGCAGTACACCAGCAGATGGTGCTGTTGTAGCTGGTTATTACCTACACGCAAGCAAACCAGCAGAGTTTGTAGCACTAAAGTGTAGATAGAGAAAACCGAAGGATTTAAGAAGAAAAGTTCAGGATAACAAGGAACACTAAAATTCCCACAAAATCCGACCTTTATGAAAGCTGTAGGTTCTCTGTCAGCTGTTTTAGTTTACTTTGAGTTCTATGGGGAAAATGTTTGTGTAGCCCACGTGAATTTAGTCTGCAGTACGCGAGAATCCTTCAGCTCCAAGCCCGTAACACCCAAACCAGTTATTATAATAGATCCATGTATCATACAGTGGTGTGAATGACAGGATTTTGAATATAGGAAAAAAATATAAACAGCTGCGGTAGTGTGTCTTGTCAAGGCAGTAGGTTTTGGTTTGCTTGCCTGTACTAATAACCAGCTACAACAGCACCATCTGCTGGTGTAGTGCTAGAACAACCACATTACACTTACGAATCTTTTTGACACACGCTTGGCGGCAGAGGTGTGTCAAAAAGAGATTTGTGTGTAAAACGGAGCCTCTGCTTCGCTCTTAGGCTTTTTTCGTTCTTCTCTTTGTACAACGTGGTTATTTACACACAGATTGTTCTGTGCATATGCAAATCTATTTACACACGCACACATATTTCTTATACACACACGCAAATCTGGTTACGCACGCACAAATCTTTTTACGCACACACAAATCTGTTTACGCACACACAAATATTATTGAAACAATAATAGCTCCATACTTTTCCTCTAAGATTTAACAGTTCCACAGACTCTCCGTGCTCTCTTCTGTATTAGCATTAGCTGCATTAGCATTATCTGCATTAGCCTCTGTGTCTAATGCTTATCTACATGCGTTTGATCTGCAGCTCGGTTTGACTGAGATCAGCGATGAGAACATTTCTGTCTCTGATCCCAAGCACAGCGTGAGGGAACTGCCTGGCGTCAGTTTTACACAGTCCTCTTCAAATAGTCTGATGTGAAAGATGTACATACTGTACACCCATCCGTCAGAATAAATCCTCTATCAATGACTCAATGGACTGATGCAAAACACCAGTCCATTAAGCTGTGAGGGTGATCTCACCCTTTGACTTAGACTTGGTTTTGATAATATTCATAATTAGATTTGTTGATGAGAAGTGTAAACTTTGACTTGTTATATAAATAGACAAAACATTGTTTTTATTGTGTTTTGAGATTTTTTTGTTAAACTTATATAGCTTTAACATACAAATCAAAATAAGACATTTTCTTTACATCCACACTTCAGAGTGATAAACTCTCTGGTCTCTCTCTATGGTCTCTCTCTGGTTTCTCTCTAGCATCTCTCTCTAGTCCCTCTTTGGTCTCTCTCTAGTCCCTCTCTTTCGTTGTTCCCTCTCTGGTCCCTCTGAAATCCCTCTCTGATTGTCCCATTGGCAAACCTTGTTTTAAAGCAGTCAGAATGTGCTTAAATTAAGATACATTTTGCCAAATTTGAGCATTTTTTGACTTATTTATCATCAGTTTTTGCAGTGATCCTATTGGGTTTTTGAATTTGTTGAAGCAGAGAAATATACCTGTTTATTATATGACTTGGACCGTACGCGCACTCTGATTGGCTGATTACCGGTCTGATATTTTTCCATCTCGGACCGTTACCATGACAATTGGTCCGAACAGCGCGTATCAGATTTGATATCTTTCCTCGGAACGTTACCATGACAATCTGTCCGCAGCGTGTATCACACAAAACCAAGTCGGACATGAACATACTTCACAAATATCTCAAAAGCATTGGTTAAGACAGTGGTTCCCAAAGTTGGGGTCCCGACCCCCCGGGGGGTCGCGGGAACCCCTGGGGGGATTGCAAGATGATTTCCACACAAACAAAAAAAAAAGATTATTTTTTTTTGAGCAAATATAAAGCCCTTAAATATTTATTTAGCATTTGATTTGATTCAAAAGGACTACCCGTTAAATTGTGTTTGGAGACTATAATATATTTTAATAACGTTAGTAATTTTGTCCCAGTCATTGCAGCGTCAATCAAAATCATCACGTAACACAGCTCACATCATGCGCAGCGGCAAAGCGTGTCCTGCTGTTGTTTGCTAAAACTAAAGGTGTTTGGAGGCTACAAATAAATAATACCTGCTTTAAAATGAAACGTGGTTAATATCCACAACAGAAAAACCCGGAGGGGGAGAAAAGTCACTTGTATCAGGGGTCAGGCTGATGGTGCGAAGAGAGGGAGAGAGGGCAAAGGAGGGAGAAAGGACAGCGGAGGGAGGGAGGACAGCGGTAGAACAGCGCGTTAAAGAGGCCCGGCTTTTCGGAGTCAAAGGTAAAGAGGTCCGCACATTAAAAGCGGGTGGCCGGTTTATGCCTTTACTGACAGTAACTTTGGAAAGAGAAGCCGCGGGGATGAACCGCATAAAGTAACAACAGAAAGCGGCCGCCCGCTTTTAATGTGCGGACCTCTTTACCGCTGACTCCGGAAAGCCGGCCCACTTTACCGCGGTAGGAGAACAGTGAGGGCGAGCCGCAAGAAATGCGCTCCACTTCTGCTGAGGAGGGAGCCCACCAAGCCCATCACTGTGTCACTACATGAGTAAAAAAAAACATGTCACTACATGTCCAGCCCAAAAAGCCTCCTTTTTTGGGCTGGACAGTGCAGCTCGGTAGTGGCGTGAGTCTCTAGAAAGCGTTACTCCGTATCAAGGAAATACATGCTCATTTCATGTGACGGAAGGGCTGTTGGGTGGGGGGGGGGGGTCGCGGGTTAGCAGGGCATTTATGATGGGGGTCGCGGGCTAAAAACTTTGGGAACCCCTGGGTTAAGACACAGACGAGAGTCATATAATAAAACATTTATTAACCTCGCTTGCTCAGTCTGTACAGAGAAATATCAGACCTCGTGCTCGGTTAATAAGCCGTTAAGATATCTCAAAGCATACAGCATGAGATGTTTATGTGAAAATCAGGTGCAGAGTTAAGTGTCATTCATTATTTAGACTGCAGTGGAGACTGGTGTGGGGAGGAGGATTTATCACCCGTCTCTGTTGACATCTGCGGCTGTCACACACAAACAGGTCTGGATTAAGAATTCAGCTGCACATTCAGATTATCACTGCCACAGCCTCATATTATTGCAAGGAAATTAGTTTGGATTAGATGTTGTCACGCTGCTAGATATTAAGTGCATTTGAATGATGGTCGAGAAATCCATTTCGTATATGACACAGAGATGGCTGGACGTCAGGAGGTATTAAACGTCACAGAGATATGATTATGACAAACATAGTACGTTCACAGGGGCGAGGAAGCAGCAATGTTTCTGGATTGCAGAGGCAGAAGTCTACACACTGTACGCATCATGTGAAGTGGAGAGACTCACGCGTTGGGGTGGTGCGGGGCTAATTTGAAATGCACGCTCATGTTATCAGCAAAGAGCGTACACACCGCACGAATGGACGAGCGCAGCGTTTTTGCCAGCGGCCCTTGGCTCTAGATCAGCTCCACACACACACACATGTATCTAAACATTATGAGGAGGACGAGCAGGTGTGACAGTGATTCTGGACATTGTTTTGTTTTTTTATTCAGTGTCTGACCAGACTAGCTCACAGAGACCATAAGGACAAACACATACATGTGAGTTTTGTTGCTGCACATCAGTTCTCTGGCCAGTACTGTCCTCTACACTACATCAGAAGCTGCGTCTCTGCGCGCTCTGCCGTGTGTACACAGCCGCGTGGCGCTCGTCACTCGCTGCGCTTTCAGACATTCTCCAGCTTTAGCCCAAGTTCAAATATATTCCCTCACAAGTCTCTTAGCACTTCAAAATCTGACTTTGTTCCGTTTGTTTATGTCTATTGCCGAGGGACAACAAAAATAAACTAGCATTTTTTGCCACATTTATACTGTAACTTCATTAAAATGCACTGTCTCTTCAAATTATACTGCATAAACAAATGTTGTGTAATGTATTTGTGTGTCACTCGTGAATGTGAGGGTTTTGGATCATCACTGTCCTGCAGTGAGTTCCTGCATCAGAGGAAAAGTTATCTTAGATTTCTCTTTTATGTAGTATTTTCCAAGAAGTCATTGCACCCCGAGTCAAGAGTGCTCTGCAGCAGTGGGTACGAGACTGCGCTATAATTTGTGTTATACAAGGTGCACATCCTCACCCAGGGCACACACACTCACAAGTCTTCTAACTCTTTGAAGTGAGTTTGTGATTTGAAAAAGCCTTGTCGTTTTAAATGATCCTGAAGAGAGAAAAGCTCATACTGAACCAGAGTCAGAGACACAGGAGAAGAATCTCCCTCCACAATCTCCTCTGACTCACGTCTCTTTGCATGATAATGTCAAATATAATATAGAAAGAACCACATGTGTCACTGTGTTGTAAACATACAGTACAACTATGTCTGCACTAGAATATACAGGATTTTATTCTTGCTTATTAATTATGCTAAAAATAGAGATTGGAGGAAATCTATAATAAATTCTAGAGACAATATTCCCACCCACCTCCACCTATAGACCTGTCGGTCACTGACAGTTTCTGTCAGTCTCTGTCTCTGTCTCATTAACCTGTTCTCTCACTTCTCTTTCAGACATACGCGTTACAGAGCCACTACGGCATTCCACACACAGAGGTAACTACTGTCTGTGAGAGACAAAGAATCCAAATCACTGTCTAATCTAAACGTGTGTGTGTGTGTGTCTGTGTGTGTGTCAGTTGGCCAAACTCCACCAGTTGTCGTTGCAGCAGCAGAGTCTGAGCCACATCAGTCAAGCTGCGACACAAGTTCTGTCAGGTACGGAGTCTGAATCACTACACAACACAACTTTAGTTTATTTAAGGAAATACCACAGGTCAGTGGCTAACAGAGGGGTCCATGGGGCCTTGGTGCAGAGAGGACTGGGCGCCAGTCGAAGCCGGAGACCTGTGACCTTTTCCGAACACACAATATCTGGCTGTTGGGACATGGAACTGGGAGGCTGAGGAGCCTGAGAGATACTGACTTGAGTTAGTCGGCTTCACCTCCACACACAGCTTGGGCTCGGGAACCCAACTCTTTGAGAGGGGTTGGACGCTCCACTGTTCTGGCGTTTCCAGCGGGGAGAGGCGGCGAGCTGGGGTGGCCATACTCATTGCCCCCATCTCACCGCCACGTGTTGGAGTCTCTTACAGCAGTCCAGAGGACTCTGCCTTCTTGGAGTCCTTGGGAGGGGTACTGGACAGTGCACCGACAGGGACTCCGTGTTTCTCCTGGGGGCCCAGGTGTGAAATGGCACGGACACTTGCAGAGGGGTGATTGGGAAGAATGGCCCTAATCTGAACCCGAGCGGATCAGTTGTTGGACTTCTGTGCTAGCCACCATTTGCCAATCACAAACACCATGCATCAGATTTTTATGACATCAGGTACAGACATGGAGTTGTTTTTATCCACACACGCTGATACAACATCTGGCACATTTAGCTCCGCCCTCTTTGTCTCAAAGACCCTGTGATAGTACGTCTTGTGATGTCACCACTATGACATCACACTCAAAGCAGTTTTCTGTCTGTTTTCAAACAAGTGTTTCCCATTAGTTATCTTTGGTCTTTTCTGAAATGAAGTTCTTTACAATCCTTGTTTTAATAAAAATGAATGGGACTACTCCTCTGGTGGTAGCACAGGGGGTTACAGGTGGAAAGTATGTATTTCACACTCTAAACCATGGAATGACAAAGTTAATCGCCTAATTTTCATGTTTTATGGCAAAGATACTGCATGATATTTCAGAGTATCAAGTATGACCTTTGCCTTGTTTCTAAAGAAGTTGAGCTGTCGTCTTTGCTCTGGAAGAAAGAGAGCCCCTAGAAAATATCAATAATATTTACACATTCAACCGCATTTATGGACATCGGCCTCTGCCCCTTACTGACCCATGTCTTGTTTGTTATCTTTGCATTTCCTGTGTTTGAACTGTTTGATTCTCTTATCTGTGTTGGCGAATCGACAGTTTTGTAAAGTCCTTCGAGATAACTACTGCTGTGATTTAGGATGTACACAAATCCATTGAATTGTATTGAACTTTTTTTCTCCATAAATTCTAGATGAAGCAATGCATTATTACAAGTTACCGCATTAGATTAGATTATTTTAGATTAGATTAGTTTGTATTGTCTCATTACATTCAATAGAATCTAACGTTAAAGTAGAATCTAACGTTAAAGTTAAATCGGCCCAAAAACTGTCCTTTCTGCTGGTTTCATCATCCGCAGCAGCAACAACACGGTCACTGCTGAATAAATGCATTCACCATCGAGCTCTAAATCTCTCCGTCTTTATCCTCTGGAACTCACTCTACACTGTTGTTTGAGACATTTTGCTGTAAGATTGTTATTCCTGTGTCATATCAGCCACAGAGCAGAAAAACACCCTGTGGAGAATCTTCCCCCTGCTGCAACGAGACAAATCGACAAAATGGTGAAATAATTGTGCGTAAAGGAAAATGTGTAACAGAAATATAATCATCATAGAAACTGGTTTTAAATGTCATATAAAAATACCAAGATTCAAGATTGTTTGTTTTGTTTCCTTTTGGAGAAAGTTGGTTTGGACCGATGGCTCTGCTACATTTCAATACAGAAAATACATACACACATCACCTCCTCATGTCCTTGTTTAACAGATTCACTAAAACAGCTTTGAAAGAGTTCTTATAACGATTAAGTCTGCACCGTAGCACTCATACCTCCTCCCAATTGTTCATATTCAAGGAAAAGTACATGTGTAGGATCAGAGGGATTCCTGGTCAGTTTCCTCCTGTTCTGTCTCCTCCTGGTCTGTCTCTTCTTGGTCTGTCTCATCCTGGTCTGTCTCTTCCTGTTCTGTCTCATCCTGGTCTGTCTCATCCTGGTCTGTCTCATCCTGGTCTGTCTCATCCTGGTCTGTCTCATCCTGGTCTGTCTCATCCTGGTCTGTCTCTTCTTGGTCTGTCTCATCCTGGTCTGTCTCTTCCTGGTCTGTCTCATCCTGGTCTGTCTCATCCTGGTCTGTCTCATCCTGGTCTGTCTCCTCTGGTCTGTCTCATCCTGGTCTGTCTCTTCTTGGTCTGTCTCATCCTGGTCTGTCTCATCCTGGTCTGTCTCATCCTGGTCTGTCTCATCCTGGTCTGTCTCTTCTTGGTCTGTCTCATCCTGGTCTGTCTCCTCTGGTCTGTCTCTTCTTGGTCTGTCTCTTCTTGGTCTGTCTCATCCTGGTCTGTCTCATCCTGGTCTGTCTCATCCTGGTCTGTCTCATCCTGGTCTGTCTCATCCTGGTCTGTCTCTTCTTGGTCTGTCTCATCCTGGTCTGTCTCATCCTGGTCTGTCTCATCCTGGTCTGTCTCATCCTGGTCTGTCTCCTCTGGTCTGTCTCTTCATGGTCTGTCTCATCCTGGTCTGTCTCATCCTGGTCTGTCTCCTCCTGGTCTGTCTCATCCTGGTCTGTCTCCTCTGGTCTGTCTCTTCATGGTCTGTCTCATCCTGGTCTGTCTCCTCTGGTCTGTCTCTTCATGGTCTGTCTCATCCTGGTCTGTCTCTTCATGGTCTGTCTCATCCTGGTCTGTCTCTTCTTGGTCTGTCTCCTCCTGTTCTGTCTCCTCTGGTCTGTCTCTTCTTGGTCTGTCTCATCCTGGTCTGTCTCCTCTGGTCTGTCTCTTCATGGTCTGTCTCATCCTGGTCTGTCTCCTCCTGGTCTGTCTCATCCTGGTCTGTCTCCTCTGGTCTGTCTCTTCATGGTCTGTCTCATCCTGGTCTGTCTCTTCTTGGTCTGTCTCATCCTGGTCTGTCTCCTCTGGTCTGTCTCTTCATGGTCTGTCTCATCCTGGTCTGTCTCCTCCTGGTCTGTCTCATCCTGGTCTGTCTCATCCTGGTCTGTCTGCTCCTGGTCTGTCTCCTCCTGGTCTGTCTCCTCCTGGTCTGTCTGCTCCTGGTCTGTCTGCTCCTGGTCTGTCTCCTCCTGGTCTGTCTCCTCCTGGTCTGTCTCCTCCTGGTCTGTCTGCTCCTGGTCTGTCTCCTCCTGGTCTGTCTCCTCCTGGTCTGTCTCCTCCTGGTCTGTCTCCTCCTGGTCTGTCTGCTCCTGGTCTGTCTGCTCCTGGTCTGTCTCCTCCTGGTCTGTCTCCTCCTGGTCTGTCTCCTCCTGGTCTGTCTGCTCCTGGTCTGTCTGCTCCTGGTCTGTCTCCTCCTGGTCTGTCTCCTCCTGGTCTGTCTCCTCCTGGTCTGTCTCCTCCTGGTCTGTCTCCTCCTGGTCTGTCTCCTCCTGGTCTGTCTGCTCCTGGTCTGTCTCCTCCTGGTCTGTCTCCTCCTGGTCTGTCTGCTCCTGGTCTGTCTGCTCCTGGTCTGTCTCCTCCTGGTCTGTCTCCTCCTGGTCTGTCTCCTCCTGGTCTGTCTGCTCCTGGTCTGTCTCCTCCTGGCCTGCTCATTGGGGGCCAATAGGGAGAGGCCAGTGTTTGTCTGTGCACCTGTGGCACATGATGGATGGAGGAGCAGCTCATGTTTCTGCTCCTCTGGGAGGCCAGAGTTCAGGGTAAACGTCTCAGGAGCTGGAACTGTTCAAGGACCCATTTGTCTGTGATTGACTTTTCGCGGTATATTCTGGCCTAGGCTATTTTAACCCCCTTTAGGCCAGATTAACCCCCCTCTTGTTTTATCTAATAATAATAAAATATACGTTATTGAATTATTATTTTTTAAACTTCAAAATTATTTCAAATCATTTAGAAGTGTTTGTTAATTAGTCTGTAGCCCTAATTAGTGTGATTGTTTCTCACACTTTGTTTGTGAGGTGATGAGTCAATGTATCTTCTTACTTCTCACTTGTTTCATGTGATGAGTCATCTTATGGTGCTTTGACACCGGATCATGTGTTGCGTCAACTTTCAATGCAAAGTCAATGGTGACATGTATGTGCATCTCGGGATGCACGCACGGACTGCAGAGACGCATGGACTGAGCGGTAGAGACGCACGGACTGAGCGGTAGAGACGCATGGACTGAGCGGTAGAGACGCATGGACTGAGCGGTAGAGACGCACGGACTGAGCGGTAGAGACGCATGGACTGAGCGGTGGAGACGCACGGACTGAGCGGTAGAGACGCACGGACTGAGCGGTAGAGACGCATGGACTGAGCGGTGGAGACGCATGAACTGAGCGGCAAAGGCGAGGCAGTGGCGCAGGAGCGGAAAAACAACGCACGCCGGAGATAAATATTGCTGAGTGTTTCCTTGGGACGTTTGTGCAGCGACGAATCAGAGAGCCGCAAAGTGGTCACGGGGACATTAGCGGCCAGAGCGAGCAGACTGAACATTCTGTAAACAGCCAAAACAGGAGCTACACCAGGACTAAACCAGGACTAAACCAGGGTTGACAGTGGGGGACATAGTGCTTGTTAACATGTGAGTTTTCATGCTCCCGTGACTTTATGCAACTTCTTCGAGTGTGTTCGCCGATGCGGAAGTACCGTTTAATAATAAAATAAACGTATGACGCACCTCCGTGAACACATACTGCTGTTATATAAAGTCACCTCCGTGAACACTACTGCTGTTATATAAAGTCACCTCCGTGAACACATACTGCTGTTATATAAAGTCACCTCCGTGAACACATACTGCTGTTATATAAAGTCTGTGGAAGGTCCCTGAACACAGACACTCTGCAAAGCTGCATTATTGGAGAAGATCTTTACACAAGAAGCCGCTGGCTTAACTCCGTTAGCATCAAAGTCCGTCCGCTACTTCCGCCACTTCCGGCGGGCGCCACAGCAGCAGGACTTCTGGTCTGAAGACCCCTGCGTCTGAAAATTAGAGAATGTGCGTCTGGTACGCGAGGCGTCAGCATTCCAGCGTCAGCGGTGTGAAAGCACCTTTAGAACTTTTGAGTAGATATTAATCATGGGCATATGACACCAATGCTCCGGAGATTGTGTCGCTCTTTCCGAAAGAACATTGCTTCGAAACACTGCATTGGAGCGTGTATCAAAACAACCGGTCACGTGACAGCTGTGTCAGTGTCTCGGACCCTGCAGCCCCTGCTTCACTGCTTCACTGCTTCACTGCGCATATCAGCGGTGTCGGTGTCAAAGAGTTTCTTTGGCTCAATGTGTTTCTTCTGACTTCTCATTGGATCATGGAAGAGTTACATCTCGCTTCCTTGGTTTGACTGCCGATGCGTCAACTGTGGTTTTTGATTAAAAAACTTGTGATGTACGCATAGAGTGCAGTCCTTTTTTTCAGTAAATTGTTTTATGTTTAAATATACTTGTATTCAATATAAGGATTCCTTAAAAAATGGGAATATTGCTGTATGGTCCTGAAAAGTACAGTACGAGATTGTTATAGTTTTATCATTGTTATAGTCTTATATAGAATAGTTTATTTCAGAAATAACATCTTTTCCTAAATGTATTTAGTAAGAAATTAATACATTAATAAAATATTGCTTGTATTTTATTGTTATTATATAAAATTAAAGGGGGGGTTAATCTGGCCTATGGGGGGTTAAACTAGCCTAGGCCAGTTTATACCCCGTGGTATATTCTGGCCTAGGCTATTTTAACCCCGGGGTGTAATCTGGCCTAGGCTACTTTATACCCAGGTATATTCTGGCGGGGTTTTAAACTGGCCTGCTACACCTGGTTCGATTCCACCTTCGGGACCTTTCTGCATGTTCTCCCTGTGTCTCCATAGGTTTCTTCCAGGTGCTCTGGTTTTTCTATACCACTGAAAAAGAGTGAGGGTTGAATGAGTATGTGTTTGTGAGTGTGACTGTGGGAATGAGGTGCAAATTAGCTACTAAGTACTTCTTCAATTTGTATCGCCCTTAATCACAACAGTAGTTATCTCAGAGGACTTTACAAAGCTGCTGATTCTCCAACACAGTTCCAAACCAAACACAGGAAATGTAACGATAACAATCACAAAGAACCATTGGTCCATAAGGGGCAGAGACCAATGTCCATAAATGTGGTTAAATGTTGTGTGTCCTGGATCATAGCTTCAATATGGTGCAGTTACATTTTCCCATTCACATAAACAAATATAATACCTAGCTTGAATGATGATGGGTCTCAGGGACAAACAAAGACTTGAAACCAGTTTGAATGTATAAGAATGAACGCTGCTTCTTTTAAATACATTTACAAAATGGAAGTGTTTCAAATGACTTTCCCCAGTGTTAAACATGTGGCGTTGTCCAATTTATCAAACTAATGTTAGCTGTGCATCCACAGAGAGAGGGGGAGAGAGAGAGAGTGAGGGACGGGGAGAGAGGGAGAGTTATCAGCAGGATGTGGTTGGCTGATTATTCCATTATGTTTCAGGTATAAAAGTGCAGAGCCTCTTTTCAAAATCACACTTAAGGAGCAGCTCTGACTCCTGCTGGGAATAATGTTCTGTTTCACAAATACAGTTTATAGTATTTCACTGTGAATCAGGTCCTTTGCAAATAGACGCTAATGTAAGCTGTGTTTGTGTAAGAAACTAGTCTGACTCAAGTTCACAGACAGTGGAGCAGTGAGGAGTGGCCGTGCCTGCATGTGAACCTACACTACTACTACTATTACTGCTACCACAACTACTTCTACTACTACTGATACTACTACTACTACTACTGATACTACTACTAGTACTACTACTACTACTAATACTATATTTGTAGTTATTGACTTGTCCCTGTGTCTGCAGCCGGAGTGGAGGCCAGTTCTCAGACCACGTCTCAGGAGCTGCTGATTCCAAACGATGTGAGTTCAAACACACAGCTGCTGTTTTAATATGTTATATATATATATATATATGTATACATATATATATGAATCAAATATTATAATATTGTTGAATGCTGTGTGGCCATACCTGTAGGTGAAAGCGAGATCCCATCAGACCTGTGAAGCTAAGGCTGTGCATGGCAGGGCCTGGTTAGTACTGTGATGGGAGACCTCTGGGAACACCAAGTGCCACAGTGGGGCGGCTGTAAACTGCCAAACTGTGGTTGTGTCCTTGGGCAAGATATTTCAACCACATTAGAATGGATCTGGTGTGTGTGTGAATGGTTAGTGGTGGTCAGAGGAGCCGATGGCTCAAACTGGTTGACTCGCTTCTGCCAGTGTGCCCCAGGGCAGCTGTTGCCACAGTAACAGTTTATCACCAGTGTCTTTGGAGTGAATGAATAATCCCATGTGAAGCATCTTTGAGTGTCCAGAAAAGCACTATATAAAACCCATGCATTATTATGTTGTTGTCGGAAAGTTAGGTACCCCAGCTTTATCCTTCATGTCTCAGGGCCATAGAAAGTCTCTCTGGGGATGACTGCAGAGGGGGAAGTGGAGCCAACTTTAATGTTGGCATCTATTGGATCTGTGACTCATTCTTGGAGCAGATTCCACTCAGGGAGATTAAAAAGTGTTTTGGGCCTAATTTCTTCTTATACAAACATTAAATAGGTCACATAACTTTAGCTCTATGCCACTATAGGAAGAAAGGAAAGCTTCACAACTTTATAAATTATCTTCAGATGTGGAGTATTGATGCCAGTACTGAAATAGAAGGATATACACTGCAAAAACTAATCACATATAAGGTATTTCATTCAACAAGTTTGGAATGTTGATTCAAGCACATTTTAACTTTGTCTTGAAGGAGCACGCAAACACGTCTTGTTTGATCCACATACATACATTCCATGTGTATGTATTCCCTTCCATGGATGTGTGTACCTGTGAGTGTGTGCCTGTGTGTGTACCTGTGTGTGTATTGTTTTCCTTGGAATGTGAGCACACAGGGGATCCTGGTTTCTCTTTGATTTAATAATCAGCACCTCTGCAGCCTCTGATATGCTGGCATCAGTCCCAGTCATTTTAATCAAGATGTTATTGTGATTTTTCTCTTGCATTTGGTCCAATCCTTCACACTGCAATGTGTGAACGGCTAAGACCCTGTTTGTCAGCGGGTAATGATGACATCCTATAGCTGCAGCAGTAATAGGTTTAGCAGAGGAGCCCCAACCTCTCTTTAATACAAGGGCGACAGGGATTCACCCAAAAATAGTACATGAGCTCCTTCCTGTCGTAAAAGCTGCTCGCCTAGGCTGCAAAAACCTCATATTCTAAAAGCAATCGACCTTGAGAAAGTGTCCCACCATCATGGACCACAATCGTCCATTTTTCTTAAGGCTAAAAGGTAGTTTAGCTTTAAGAGTTTAGCTTTAAGAGCTGCCAAATGGCTTCAATGCTGTTGAGTCACTTTCATTCAGGCCAAAATATCTCTGCAGACCGGTTTCAATCAGACTAATGGCGTCTGTTGAAGTTTTGGCAGAATCATGATGGAAAAGACAATATTTTGTATTGATAGATGAACCTTTATGACTACACACTTTCAGCCTTATCCACATGTATAAAGTGCATTATGTCTCCTTATGTTTAAGGCTTAGATTGAAGGTTCTTTTAATAAGACAAAAGTGGAAAGAGGATTGTGCTTAATCACCACATGTTTACACTTCCACCTTTGTCAGAGACACGCCACCATCAGTCTGGTCCAGTCTAGTCCAGTCTGGTCCAATAGGGTCAGGCAGCGGCTAAAGGTGGATCAAACTTTAACATATCTGACCTGCTGGTGTCTGGGACCACTTTGTTTCATGTCTGCTGCAGAGCCACACACTTTAATTATCAGCAGTCTGTCCAGGAATGTACCACAATAGCCCACTTTAGACCACTTTAGACCACTTTAGACCAGAGCCCATCGACCCCAGCGCTGAGGGCAATAGACTGATAGGGAAAGGAATGTCAAAGGAAATCATCCTCAGCGAGACTTGTGCACCTGACTTTTAAAAGATGGTTAGCATATTTTCCCCCACACCTTCACCACCACCAACTATTCAAACACACTCCAGACTCATTCTAATTTGGGTCTGGCATGTGTGACGCAGCCGCCCCGCTGTGGCACCTGGTGTTCCCAAAGGTCTCCCATCACAGTATACACCAGGTCCCTCACTACTGAGCTTCAAAGGTCTGACAGTATATGACTTTCACCCGCAGGTGGCGCCACAGTGGCTACATCCATTCCACACTGAGCTGCCGTACTCCTCATATACACCACATGCGTCATGTGAAGCAGAGAGACTTGCGCAGCGACGCACTTGGATCATTTGAAATGCGTGCCCATGTTATCAGCGAGGCGCAAACACACCGCACACACAGACGAGCGTGTGGCATGCAGCCGCCACTTGTATCTTAATATTCGCAGGAAGAATGGCAGGTTTGACCGTGATTCTGGACATTGTTTTTTGTCTTTCATATGGTCTGGTGTCTGACCAGACTAGCTCACAGAGACCATGAGGACAAACACAAGTGAGTTTTGTTTCTGTACATCCGTTCTCTGGCCCGCACTGTCCTCTACACTTGTCCTTAGATTACACAGAGAGAACATCAGCAGCCGTGCCTCCAAGGCAACGCAAGCCTCCACTGGAGAGGAGAGACTGCCGTCACTCGTTGCACTTGCGGTGTGTACAAGCTGTGAAGCTCAGGAGCCCGTCATAGAGTCGCTTCTCCTTGCACTGCATCAGGCATTAGTAAATTACCTCTGGAGATAAGCTGGATGGCTCTGACTCATGCTAAACTCCGCTAACATGACCTGGGTTCTCTTCCTCTCCTCCTCTCTCCCTCTCCTCCTTGCTCCCCTCTCTCCCTCTTGTCCTCGCTCCCCTCTCCTCCTCTCTCCCTCTTCTCCTCTCCTCCTCTCCCTCTCTTCCTCTCTCCCTCTCCTCCTTGCTCCCCTCTCTCCCTCTCCTCCTCTCTCCCTCTTCTCCTCTCCTCCTCTCCCTCTCTTCCTCTCTCCCTCTCCTCCTTGCTCCCCTCTCTCCCTCTCCTCCTCTCTCCCTCTTCTCCTCTCCTCCTCTCCCTCTCTTCCTCTCTCCCTCTCCTCCTTGCTCCCCTCTCTCCCTCTCGTCCTCGCTCTCCTCCTCTCTCACTCTCCTCCTCTCCCTCCCCTCCTCTCTCCCTCTCTTCCTTGCAGCTGATTGGTTCCATCATCGGTCGCCAGGGCACCAAGATAAACGAGATCCGGCAGGTTTCGGGAGCACAGATAAAGATCGGGAGTCAGATGGACGGTACCAGCGACCGCCACGTCACCATCACTGGGACGCCCATCGCCATCAACCTGGCCCAGTACCTCATCACCTCCTGGTAAGCACCAAGCACCTGATCACAGCACTTACACACAAGACAGTATTTTGCTTTAGTTTTATATTTTTTTTCCTGTTACTTGTGCTCTTTATTCAAATCTACCATTTATTAAAACTGATTTTTTTTAAATAGTGCCTCTCTGAGCTCTTTCTCACAGTTTGCAAAAAGTCGGCATATTGTGGTCTCATTGGTTCATAATATTAACAAGATTAATTTAATAACAATAATACATTAATAATAATTTTTATCATTATAAACAAGATTAGTTCTCATGGGAAAAAACTATACTAAATTATATTAATTAACCTAAGTGTATTGTATTTTTTTAATGCTTTTTAATAAACTAAAGTATGACTTTTGTTACTTGTAAAAAAAAAAAAAAGGCATAAATTCATAATTTCCCTCCAGTTTTATTACAAATAAATAAGACATGAAGTGGCTATTTGGATGATCTAGATTTTGTTTTTTGCCTCTTGAATATATCGTTGTCTATGACAAGGAAAATCCAAATGCATTACAGCAGGGATAAGCAACTATTTCCTACATTGGGATCTCGCCATATTGTGGAAGGACGGATCCAATTTCATGTGGTTTTTAGTTTTTGAATTTGATTTAGCAAAAAGTGACTTCAGCATTGAAATGTACACTGCAAAATGTGATGGAAAAAAAGTCGAAAATTGTTCAAATTTGGCTAAAAATGTCTTAAATTAAGTACCTTCTGACTGCCTTAAAACAAGATTTGCCAATGGGACAAATCAAAATTATTTTTAAAAAGATACAAGAAATGTCTCTCTTAGAATAAGAAAATTAAGCAACAGCGACTAAATGGCTTTGTCCCATTGGCAAATCTTGTTTTTTAAGGCAGTCAGTAGAATAGTTTTTTTAATTGTTATACCTGGAAGACTGTCCAGAATCAGGCGTTTCAAACACAGCTGTTGATGGCGTCTGACACATTATTTGCAAATCCGCTTTTAACCACAAACACATTTTAATCATAAACTGACTCTATCTTTTAAGAAATAAATTACCTTAAAACCTCTTTTTGCTCGCACACATCGAGGAAATCATTAAACACTGAAATGTAATGGAGCCACTGGTCTGACCCCCATCCATCAGAGAGGAGAGTCAAGATAAGATAAGATGTGCTTTGTTTATCTCACAAAGGAGAAATGTACATGTCACATTGGCATGGATAGAGACCCTCAGATTGTGCAAAAGAAAGAAATGTTAAATACAGGATAATTATGTACAACAAAAGTGACAAGTGTCAATGGGAAACAGTGTCAATAGTAGTGCAGGTTTTCACACAGTGACCATTTAAAGTGACTTGTTGTACAGTCTGACAGCGGTGGGGATAAAGGCCCTGCGGTAGCGCTCCTTCCTACACTGAGGGTGTCTCAGTCTTCCACTGAAGGAGCTCCTCGGGGCAGAGAGACGTCGACCTCCAACACACTTTACCAAATGTATGAATATGGAAATGTCATCTTAGGAAAATGATTTGTTATCCCACCATTGCATCCACTAGACACACATCTCTATACAAAGGAGTCACATGGAAATTACAGAGAAATTACTTGGAAATCAGCACATATAAGTCACATAGATGTCACATAGAAATCACCAACTTAGCCTAATGTTTATTTTTCTATTTTATTCTTTGGCCTTCAGCAGAAAATAAGAAAACATTTGACATTCACAGGTTGTAAATTATTTACAGACCGAAAGGGTTAGACTGAAGTTTAACACTTATATCACCTAACCCTATAAACAAATAACATGTCAAAGTCAAAGCAAGAATAAAGTACGAAATCATTATAAACTTTTGGACTCTGAAAAGACAGATGGACTCGCAAAGACGTACATGTATGACATTTAGAGTTGTAAAAGCCAAAGCCACATGTGTCCTGAAGCCCTTTTGCACATCTGCAGCAGAACTCTTTGCTTCAGTCAGAATAAAAAGTACAAAAACTCAGAGCGTCAGATTATGCATGTAATGATTCTGAAGCCTCTCCCCGGCCCCCACTGTGCACACGACACACAGATACACACATCTAAATGTACATTAGCACATCAAACTCTTCTGCATCCATTATTCATCCCAATGCATCCAAATGAGAAAAAACACTTTGAATAAAATGTTTGAAAATGATCTATCTCTAAATGGGGTTTCAATGAGTATTCTGCATCGCTCTCATCAAGAGAGACCTGAAAAAATACAAATCTATGTTAAGATTTGAAAAAACTCTTGGAGCGGAACAAAAACTTCTACATCACAGTTAACAAAATACACATTTTATATTTGTTGAACTGTCAATTACAATGTTGCTACATGAAACCCTTCATTTTACATTTTTAATATTTTTCAAATATTAGCAGATCGTACTGTTATCACTACGTGTTGGATACGCGGTGCATGATAACATAGAAAACTCTGTCTACATGAGCCACGAAACTGAGCATCTTACTCCTTTAATTCAACTCTTTACATTTTGTTGCATGTAAAGCTCAAATGAAACTACAAAATAAACAGAAATAAAGTACATCAGTTTTGTGCTTCTGAACTAATTAGGCCTGTGTATACTCGGGCGTTTACTGTGTGCGCTGGTGTTTGTGCTGGACCCGGGGTTGATTACGCAGCCACAGATGTTTGTATACTCGGGTGTAGGGAAAAGATTTACAAATACAGTATGTTATTGAATTGTATAAGGTGCACCAATAACAGTCAAACAACATACACATTCCAAACCAAAAGAATAGTGATTAAAGGAATTTTTTTGTCAGCTTATTGATTGTTATTAGGCTGTACAACAAATTAATTAAAATGTGAAAATCACAACATGTTTAAAGGACAACTAAGCACCTAATCAACTTTTTTTAACTTATCAAACTGCATAAATATGTTTCTTATAGTGCTCTCTACATGGCCTGATCTTTTTCACTATTGAGCCTAAACCCGTCTGTGTGGCACCGCCTCTCTATATTTTTGGTGGCACTATTTGAATGGAGTACCAGGCCAGCCTCTCCGTTGGCTCTGGTGGCTTTGTGACGTTGCTTTGTGCTTTGTGACGTCCGTCGCTCTGCACCTGTGGTATAAAAGCAACCCTAACCCTAACCCAACTATTTATGTGTGTGAACTATTGTTATAAGCCAACAATGTCAACTGTCTGATTATTGGTTTGTGGGCTGTGATTGACAAGGGAGCTGTCAATCACAGCCCAGACCACGCCCAACTTTAAGCCCTCCTTCTTGTCTCCTGGGCCGCCAGGCACTGCCTTTTTTAGAGAGAATTTTCAAATGTTTACCTGGGCGGAGTAAGGCTGGACACTGGTGTTAAGTTGATCTTTAAGTAGCCACTGAAACCGGAGGCAGAACACAGATTGTTCACATTTACTGTTTGAATTATTTCACTTTTAATTGGTGACATCACAAGTTGAATATATGTGACTAATGATTTGATCTATTTGTTATTATAATTGTTTTTTCCAGGTGTCTCTCTGTGGATCAAGCACTCTGGCACATGCTTTAGTCATTGATGCGCGAATAACATATATTATCATTTGTGTAGTAACTTAACTAAAGTCACAGAGAATGTATTTTTTTTCCCACACACTCTCTCTAGTTTCTCTGGTCTCTCTCTGGCATCTCACTGGTCTCTCTGGCCTCTCTCTCTGGCCTCTCTCTCTCTCTGGTCTCTCTCTCTCTGGTCTCTCTCTCTCTGGTCTCTCTCTGGCCTCTCTCTCTGGTCTCTCTCTCTGGCCTCTCTCTCTCTGGCCTCTCTCTCTCTGGTCTCTCTCTGGCCTCTCTCTCTCTGGTCTCTCTCTCTGGCCTCTCTCTCTCTGGCCTCTCTCTCTGGCCTCTCTCTCTGGCCTCTCTCTCTGGCCTCTCTCTCTGGCCTCTCTCTCTCTGGCCTCTCTCTCTCTGGTCTCTCTCTCTCTGGTCTCTCTCTGGCCTCTCTCTCTGGTCTCTCTCTCTGGCCTCTCTCTCTCTGGTCTCTCTCTGGCCTCTCTCTCTGGTCTCTCTCTCTGGCCTCTCTCTCTCTGGTCTCTCTCTCTGGCCTCTCTCTCTCTGGTCTCTCTCTGGTCTCTCTCTGGCCTCTCTCTCTGGCCTCTCTCTCTGGCCTCTCTCTCTCTGGTCTCTCTCTGGCCTCTCTCTCTGGCCTCTCTCTCTGGCCTCTCTCTCTCTGGCCTCTCTCTCTGGCCTCTCTCTCTGGCCTCTCTCTCTCTGGCCTCTCTCTCTGGCCTCTCTCTCTCTGGCCTCTCTCTCTGGCCTCTCTCTCTCTGGCCTCTCTCTCTGGTCTCTCTCTCTGGCCTCTCTCTCTCTGGTCTCTCTCTGGCCTCTCTCTCTGGTCTCTCTCTCTGGCCTCTCTCTCTCTGGTCTCTCTCTGGTCTCTCTCTCTGGCCTCTCTCTCTCTGGTCTCTCTCTGGCCTCTCTCTCTGGCCTCTCTCTCTCTGGTCTCTCTCTGGCCTCTCTCTCTGGCCTCTCTCTCTGGCCTCTCTCTCTCTGGTCTCTCTCTGGCCTCTCTCTCTGGTCTCTCTCTCTGGCCTCTCTCTCTCTGGTCTCTCTCTGGCCTCTCTCTCTGGTCTCTCTCTCTGGTCTCTCTCTGGTCTCTCTCTCTCTGGCCTCTCTCTCTCTGGTCTCTCTCTGGCCTCTCTCTCTGGTCTCTCTCTGGCCTCTCTCTCTGGCCTCTCTCTCTCTGGTCTCTCTCTGGCCTCTCTCTCTGGCCTCTCTCTCTGGCCTCTCTCTCTCTGGTCTCTCTCTGGCCTCTCTCTCTGGCCTCTCTCTCTGGCCTCTCTCTCTGGCCTCTCTCTCTGGCCTCTCTCTCTGGCCTCTCTCTCTCTGGCCTCTCTCTCTGGCCTCTCTCTCTGGCCTCTCTCTCTGGCCTCTCTCTCTGGCCTCTCTCTCTCTGGCCTCTCTCTCTCTGGTCTCTCTCTGGCCTCTCTCTCTCTGGTCTCTCTCTGGCCTCTCTCTCTGGTCTCTCTCTGGCCTCTCTCTCTCTGGCCTCTCTCTCTCTGGTCTCTCTCTGGCCTCTCTCTCTGGCCTCTCTCTCTGGCCTCTCTCTCTCTGGTCTCTCTCTGGCCTCTCTCTCTGGTCTCTCTCTCTGGCCTCTCTCTCTCTGGTCTCTCTCTGGCCTCTCTCTCTGGTCTCTCTCTGGTCTCTCTCTCTCTGGCCTCTCTCTCTCTGGTCTCTCTCTGGCCTCTCTCTCTGGTCTCTCTCTGGCCTCTCTCTCTGGCCTCTCTCTCTGGCCTCTCTCTCTGGCCTCTCTCTCTGGTCTCTCTCTCTGGTCTCTCTCTCTGGTCTCTCTCTGGTCTCTCTCTCTCTGGCCTCTCTCTCTCTGGTCTCTCTCTGGCCTCTCTCTCTGGTCTCTCTCTGGCCTCTCTCTCTGGCCTCTCTCTCTGGCCTCTCTCTCTGGCCTCTCTCTCTCTGGTCTCTCTCTGGCCTCTCTCTCTGGTCTCTCTCTGGCCTCTCTCTCTGGTCTCTCTCTGGCCTCTCTCTCTGGTCTCTCTCTCTGGTCTCTCTCTCTCTGGTCTCTCTCTGGCCTCTCTCTCTCTGGTCTCTCTCTGGCCTCTCTCTCTGGCCTCTCTCTCTGGCCTCTCTCTCTGGCCTCTCTCTCTCTGGTCTCTCTCTGGCCTCTCTCTCTGGCCTCTCTCTCTGGCCTCTCTCTCTGGCCTCTCTCTCTGGCCTCTCTCTCTCTGGTCTCTCTCTGGCCTCTCTCTCTGGCCTCTCTCTCTGGCCTCTCTCTCTGGCCTCTCTCTCTGGCCTCTCTCTCTGGCCTCTCTCTCTCTGGCCTCTCTCTCTGGCCTCTCTCTCTGGCCTCTCTCTCTGGCCTCTCTCTCTGGCCTCTCTCTCTCTGGCCTCTCTCTCTCTGGTCTCTCTCTGGCCTCTCTCTCTGGTCTCTCTCTGGCCTCTCTCTCTGGTCTCTCTCTCTGGTCTCTCTCTCTCTGGTCTCTCTCTGGCCTCTCTCTCTCTGGTCTCTCTCTCTGGCCTCTCTCTCTGGCCTCTCTCTCTGGCCTCTCTCTCTGGCCTCTCTCTCTCTGGTCTCTCTCTGGCCTCTCTCTCTGGCCTCTCTCTCTGGCCTCTCTCTCTGGCCTCTCTCTCTCTGGCCTCTCTCTCTGGCCTCTCTCTCTGGCCTCTCTCTCTGGCCTCTCTCTCTGGCCTCTCTCTCTGGCCTCTCTCTCTGGCCTCTCTCTCTCTGGCCTCTCTCTCTGGCCTCTCTCTCTGGCCTCTCTCTCTGGCCTCTCTCTCTCTGGCCTCTCTCTCTCTGGTCTCTCTCTGGCCTCTCTCTCTGGCCTCTCTCTCTGGCCTCTCTCTCTGGCCTCTCTCTCTGGCCTCTCTCTCTCTGGCCTCTCTCTCTGGCCTCTCTCTCTGGCCTCTCTCTCTCTGGCCTCTCTCTCTCTGGTCTCTCTCTGGCCTCTCTCTCTGGCCTCTCTCTCTGGTCTCTTCTCGCTCTGGTCTCTCTGTTTAAACATAAACTGTTTACACTACCATAAACTGTGTAAACAATACTATAAAAATAGCATTGTCTGAAGATAAGCACAAGCTGAATTCTGGACCCATTCTGTTTCTGGACTTTTTCTTTCACACAGTGGCGACAAAGCTACTGTGCTGCATTGTCCTAGGCTAGCTTATTGTGGCTAATGGCTAATTGTGGCTAATGATTAATCGGCGCTAATCGTGACTATGGATAATGGCTAATTGTGGCTCTAAATAAGGGCTAATCGTAATTAATGGCTAATCGTGGCTATGGGGGTTTCAAATATGGCCGAACTCCCTGGAGTCTGAACTAGCTTGCTGGATTTAAAAAGTGCAAAACGTGAAAACAGTGAAAAATCCGCACAGCTTTGTTGCCCCAATCAGTGTCTTACATACATATTTAATAACCACGTATGGTCCATGGCTAATGGCTAATTGTGGCTTTGGATAACGGCTAGTCGTGGCTCATTGTAGCTAATCGTGGCTAATGACCATACACCGCAGATCAATCAATCAAATCTTTATTTGTAGAGCACATTTAAAAACATCCGAGGCTTACCAAAGTGCTGTACAGACGGCGAGAAAAAATAAATGAATAAAAACTAAAAACACATAAAAAATGACATCACTGGTGATCTGTTTCAGTTTTTTCAGCAGTTCTCTCTCAAACGTCTTCTCTAACGTCCTAATGAGCTGTGATGGTTTTGTTCCCTCCTCCCAAAGCCCCCTCCCGAGCCATCACCCCGACTTATACAGCACACCCCCCCATCCGAGCAGCGAACCCCCCGACAGAGATCTGTTACACTACACACCCGTTTTATGATTTCACTTCATTTTTGGTTTTACTTTGAACTCTCCAAAATATTCCTATGGAGAATCAACACTGTCAGAATAATAACTGAAGGACATAAATATAAGTGTCACAATCTGCCAATGAGTCATAACAAAACACTTCAAATTGTGGCTAATGGCTTTTCATGGCTAATCGTGGCTAATGGCTAATCGTGGCTAATGGCTAACTGCCAATAATTGTAAAGAAAACACTTCAAATTTCATAGATAAATAATATTATTTTACTGCGTTTTTTGGTTAAAAACAAATTTACAAAGCTTTGTTATTTTTTTGTCTGCATTTATTATTGACAAAAGAATAATGCAGCTGAAAGAAAATCATTGAAAAAGGAAGTACATTAAGATCTGAATGTAAAGTAAAGAAAGGAAGAAAAATGATAATTCAATTTAATGTTTTTGAATGTTAACCTCAGAATGACTGAACAAGGAAATAAATAAATGCAGACAATTGGATAAAGATAATTTATATTCATGAAATCTCATCATGCGCCGAGTTTTCTTAATAATTATTGGCTGATTGTGACATGTATGTATTTGTTCGTTCAGTTATCACTTACTGACACTTTTGGTCCTTCATATATTCCTTTGAGTTTGGATTCTTTTGGTTTAACATGTCTTTGGTTGGACCCCCTCTAACCCGTCTCCATCCCCCCCTCTCCCCCTCCTTTCACCTCAGTTTAGAGACGGCCAAATCCACGGCCCAGTCCTCCTCCATGCCGCCTCCCGTTGACCTGACCATGAGCTTCACCCAGCCCGCCCCCTCCGCCTCGCCCTCCCCCTCCTCCCTGGCAGCGATGGGCGCCACCCTGCCCCACGCTCAGATCCTGGGTGCCCCGTACGCCCTCCCCCTGTCCAGCCTCCTGGGGGTCAAATCCATCCCTTACCTGGCACTGTCCACCCCTCCCGCCTCAGCAGCAGCAGCAGCAGCAGCAGCAGCCATGGGGGGTCCCGTCATGCCCGCGGTGACGGCAGCGACGGCGGTTCCGGTCCAGGCTCACGCGGCGGCGGCTCTGGCCTCCTACACGGCTAAGATCTCCAGCTCGGCAAACTGCGTGAAGAAACCGGAGAGGCAGAAGTTTGCACCGTACTAAAGTCTGAGGAGGTGTTTTCAGTGCAGTCGGAGCAGAGGGCGGAGCTTTCTTCACCAAAATTATCTCTTAACTTAAAATTTAACACATAACTTTTAACTTATCTCGTTTTTATTCAAATATACAGTACCTTTACTCACGATTCATAAGTGCTATAACTTGAAATACAGAAAAAAAGAGAGTGCTAATGCTAACTTGCTAACGATGAATACAAAAGGCATGCAGCGTACAACTACTTCCGCGGTCCTTATCGGCAAAGTGGTAAAGTGTCTTGCCCAAGGACAGCCGACATCGGTGGGAGTCGGTGGAGAAGGTCTCGCAGTGGGGTTAACAGTATGTTGCTATAATTACTAGCGCTTTCTCTTTCCTCCTCTTTTACTTCATTTCAAAGTTAAAAGATAATTCCCTAAAAACACTGGCGTACAAGTTAACAACATAAAAAGCAGCAGAAGTCACATGTTCTTGAGCTGAGGAGTTACTCAAAAGTTGTCCAGTTGACTGCTCTACGGTGTTCCAGTGCATCGGGAGGCATAGTATCGAGCCAAAGCCTGTGGTTTCAAGTGATTCCAAATTATCTTCAATTTCTGTGTTTTTAAGAAGACTCTCAAAAATGTATCTCTCTTAATCCTTTAATGTTCACTCCTTGAAGAAAGAAAAATCATTTTTTTTCTTGTTTGGATTTTCTAAGATGCAGGACACTATTGACACAAGTAAAATATTTTAATAATAGGCCTTTACCAAATGTTTCCGTGTGATGTAGTTTGATGTAAAAGTGCCTCAAACTAAGTGAAATGCGCCAAAAAGGTAGATTTCAGTTCCAAGCCTCAAGTCAATATAATGATTCAAAATTTCATCTACCAAATGTTTGAGGAAAACATTAAAGGGCCGTTTCAGCCTAAATAAACTGTGCTGCAGGGCTTGGAGTGTGACCATGAGCCTCTCTGTTTACCACCTGCTGAGTTCACATCCAGTACGAGACAGTAATGGTTAGTTCACCTGGTTCTGGAGGCTGAGACTTTGAGACTTGCTGTATAATGAGAAAAGTGGGTGTTTTCAGGCCACACAGATCACAAGCGCAGTGTGGAATTGTCGTGAAAATGTTACACAAATCAAACCCATTCGATTTATTTTTTGATGAATAGAATGAATGAGGTCCGTGTCCAAACAGAACATCCAATGAAAAAGATATTTACACACAATAATCATTCAATTGTGTCTTGAATTGGTCGATGTCTGAGTAATGGCCACTGCTTCACTTTGTCTTTCATTCACTTTAGCATCAGGAACCAGACCAAACTTAGTTGCACACTGCCAGACCATAAGCACTGACACTGCAGTACATGTCAGAGAAGTGCAAAATGACAATCTCCTATTTGTACTTTAGTTAGTTTCTACCTTAGACTCATGTCGCCTAAATGAACTCAGGGTGGACCAATACGTGTAACTAAACATCAGAGGCCATAGGTTAAAATGGGGTTTATAAAGTCTGATGTCGTACAGTACAGTCATCTAAAGATTTACATCAATGAATAAGAACTGTATCTTTATTGGGATTCTTTCATTTGGCTTTTATCGTCCATTTGCAAACTCAGGACACAAACAGATCTTTGCTTGAATGGTTTCCAGGATAAAGTCTCATCCATAATATAAAACCTATAATATTCTGTTTTCTAACCATCACGACCTCTCTTGTCATTCCGTCTGAAGCTCCGCCCTGTTCGCTGCCTGCACTGTTTGAAGTTAACGGTTGTTTGGGCCACAAAGCCTGTAAAAGCCATAGAGACTTTTGAGCTTCCTCTGTCTGCTCCATTCTTCAAATATACTGTACTCTCATATTTATTAACACATAATCCTCAGAGAGTCGCACTGGTCACTAACACTGACATTTACTTTACATGACACCTGTGCTGTTTTAGATTCTCTTTTTTAGCCTCTAAGTTTAAAAAGTTTACAACACATTTTAAAATAGCTTTTTGTCACTTTTGTGTGTTGTGTTCACTGACTATTTTAAAATCATTTTTAAGTTATTTTTTAACTTATTAAGTATTGCATTCACAGAATTGTGTTTCAAAATGTTGTTTTGTTTATGAGAAATACACTTTAGCTACTATTCTGTTAGCTTTAGCTAACTGAAACGGTTTTGTTTATGGGAAATACACTGTAGCTACTATTGTTAGCTTAAGCTAACCAAAACTGGATCTTTGTCCATGATTTAAAGTGAGAACATGCTGTGACATGTGCATGTGCTTCCACAGGGCTGCAATAACAAGAATTAGAATGTTTCAAGACCATTTTGTCAAACCATAGACTGTAGATGGACAATAGAAACCCACCAGTTTTTAGAAAACTGGAAGAGCTCCAGTTTTTCTCCAACTCGCTCGGGGACCCATTGACTTACCCTCAAAAATCAACTCCACAGTGTCTTTGTGTTGGTCTTTAAAACCTCTGGGCTCCTGATGCTGCTGTTTATACTTTGACCGTATGAACAGAAGCATCCAGATAAGAGCCATTGACCAATCAGCTGCCTTCACCCATCAGGGTCAACTCCCATAATCAACCCGTTTGATTGACAGGTACCCTGTGACGAGTAGGTCACACACAAATCTGGAGAATAACATGAGCCCAATGGACACTCGCCATAGTGGCCTGTTTGGAGGTCAGTCTGCGTCAACTATCTGTGTTCATAACTGAAAATTGTAACTGATTGAAATGATTCTAAGCTTAGTGAAAACTGAAACAAGATATTCTGATAGAAATCCAACAATCCTAACAACAACCACAATACGTTTCATTGGGAGAGGATTATTGTAGCTCTGTGGCCAAGACCGTAGCAAAGGAACAATCAAATGTTTGGACCGTTTCTCCAACTGTCTGTGCGGAGCCAGCGACTGAAGCTGTCTGGGACTAATGCTGCTGTTTGTTTGGCCTCACACTTCCACTTGTACATACATCTGAACCATTAACACACACACACACACCTGATCCACTGACACTAACACATGTGCACACACTAAACTGGCCCACGGTGAGACGGTATTCCCACAGAGTACCACGACACAGGCCTTGGTCTTGCACTGACTGCCTTTCACGGACTTTGTGAACCTAAGCAATACTAAAACAGGGCCATACACGTAGCTTCTTCACCGATAACTTTTCAACAAATACTCGGAACATAAGAGAATGGGTTGTTTATGCTTCGATATCTGTTACCGTTCTGTTTTCAGATATAATGTGGTGTTATTAACAAGCGTACTTATTTTTATAACCTTGTTGAAATGAACTGTGGATGCTTATGACCATGAACCTCTCACACAGTCACCTTTGTGTTTCCCCCTCGTCGTTCTGTGTCTTTCAGCCATTTGCATGAGTTTGACTTGAATCGATGTCTATGCAAAAACATCTGTGTGGTTTATGTTTTACATGGTGCCGATGCAGGAACAGAAGGACTTTCACAAATGATGGGTCTGACTCACAATGGATCTGCCTGAAAATGATGCTTTAAAACAACTTGTATTTCTGCCTGAGATGGAGCTTAAAAGACGCAGTAAGCGATTTTGTTAGCTTAGCCGTAGAACCAACTCGCCTCTCCACCAAACCAAACATCCAGCATTTTCTTTTCTTTGTCAAAACAGGGAGAGTGGGAGGCAAATGTTAAATTGGCAATCTCTGTTCAGTCATTTTAGGTTTTAGAAAATCCCATAACAGGCAGAGGTTGAAGCGGGGAGAAAGGCATCCCATTGGTTTATTTTTATCAGTCCGCTCCAAAATATTATTTATCAATTTTTGGAGATTATAGAAAAAAATCACTTACTGCATCTTTAAAGGTGGGGATCAAACTATTCAGAATTATGCGATCAAACCCAGGTGAGGGGCTGCTCGCGGCCATTTTGAAACAGTCCACGCATGTTTCAACAAAGAAGACGTCCGTTAATACAAGGTGTGCTAATTTTGATATTAGTGACAAATATGTGAAACGTGTCACAATTTTATTTTTGATTTAACCTTTAGTTAACCAGGAAAGTCCCTTTGAGATTAGGAACCTCTTTTTCAAGGGAGTCCTGGACATTGTTCCTTATCAAAAACAGACCTGGAGCTGTTTTTCGATCCATCCTCGCCAATATTGGGAACTCTTGGTAAAAAAGGTGTGACTCCGCCCCTTCTGTGTCCGAGCTGTAGTCTCAGTCCTGATGTCACTGCCTCACTATGACATCACACTCAGAGAAATGTTCAGCATTTTAAAACAGAAGTAGTCCAGGTGTTAATTGCATGACCATGTTTGCAGCAAAACAAAATGACAAAGTAAATAATCTCATTATCATTTGCAAAGGTCAAAATCATAATGCAGAATATGTAGTGAATAGAAATTCTGCCCTGGGCCAGTTTGTGAATCAGACCCATGATAGTTCATGATGATAATGCACACAGTGAAGCAGTTCATTTAATCTCATTCCATTGTAATCCTAGTCTGTGTTAAGCAGATACCTCTCACCCGTCACACAGGACTGGACTCTTGTTGATATTGTTTTGCACTTGAAACATTTCTGGGAGTTCTCTGAGCATCTTCCGCAGAGGGACGAAAGAAAGGAGAGTGTTGTTACATGTTCCCTTTCTGTTAACGCCATATTCTACTCAATAAAATCCACTTGAAAGAAAAATGAAACGTCTCCGTCTCTTCCTGGATACAACACTTTAACTCTCTGACTATTTAATGTTAGCGAATCGTAATGTTTTTGTCTCAGATCGATCTATAAAAATAATGCATTGGTTTAATAAATAGCCTTTTCAGGGCTCTCAAAGACGCTTCACATTTTTTCACTGCAAACACAGTGGTGATAAACTACTGCTGTATTTAGGAGCTGGTATCGGTGTGAAAAGAGCCTGTTCTGCTCCTTCCTTCAGAGTCACATTTGGTTTTAAACGGTAGCACTTTGCAGCACATGAGATCTGTGTTGTTTTCCTGATGCGTCACGCTGAGAACAATCAGTCTTTCCTCCCACCGCCTTCCGACGCTTTCCCCAAACCTCTCATTTGTAACCCCAAACTTTGTGGATTACGGTTCATTTTGTCTCTTTCTAAATCTTCACAGAAAACTTATTCTGGTTCTGTTTCAGGAATCTACACTTTGTTCATGCCCCTGCAGTTTATATGTAGCCATACCTGCAGATGAAAGTCAGATCCTAACAGATGTCTAAAGCTAAGCAGGGCAGGGCATGGTTAGTACTGTGATGAAAGACTGGAACAAGTGCCAGAGTGGGCGACTGTAAAGTGTCAAGCTGTTGTTGTGTCCTTAGGAAAGACATTTCACCCACATTAGAATGGTTGGTGGTGATAGATTGATTACCTTGTTTCTGTCAGTGTGCCCCAGGGCAGCTGTGACCACAATAGTAGTTTTTCACCACTGTTTGGAGTAAATGAATGATGAAGGGTCCAGGATAATACATACAAATATTAATAATAATAATAATCTTTGCTCTTGATGTGTTTGTGTGCAAATTCTGGATGTTGTTTTTTTGCAGAGAGAAACATGGAGTGTGGGAGAGTTTGTTTCTCTTGAGTCCACATAATTATCAGCCTTCTGCCTAATGACCTGCTTCTCCTCTGCCCCTGTCTCACTGTCCAAACTAAAGCCTCTAAAGCAGGGGTTTCCAACATGTTGTGTTTGGAGAGCAACTTTTACACAACAGAAAAGTGTGTGAAAAAGACAAAAGGTGAGGGGCCCTGGATCGTCATAAGAGATAGATGGATGATTCAAGTATTCCACCATCTTCTTCCCCCTAATCCATTTCTGGGACGGGGGATGGCAGTCAGAGCTGTACCCATTTCACAGAGCACCAATACTTGAATCAGTAACACATTTTAGATTTAGGACCCTGTAGCCGTTCTGCTGCTATGGCGCCCGAAGGGTTAATAATAATAATCCTGCTCACACTGACATCTTCCTCCTGACGGCCTCCATCGGGCTTCCCATCGTGTGGCATCAATATTTCAGATTCACTTCTTGAAGCGAAGCCTTTAGCAGGAGCTCCTTCACCACCTTCATCACTGCAGCGTTCCCAGTGCATGATGGGAGAACTGGACTCTGAGGAGTAGAGGATGATTTAAAGAATGTTCATTATGAGCGAAAGACACGCAGCGTTTTAATAATCCAAGTCACTCACACAGGAAGCTCCAGGACCCCCACGGAGAAAATAATGAGTCCATGTAGTTCACTTCATGAGCCGCTGCTTCACAGGACCAGAGGAAGACACTGACGACAAGCTTTGTGGTTCATTTCACTAATGAACTGCATTAAAGCTTGGGTCTCCAACTCTATTTCTGTTACCAAATCTATCCAACTCGTTACTTTCCGTTACAGTTTGATTCCGTCACAAGTTTTCACCTGTCATTTTTTTATCTTTAAATAGCCTTTCTCTCATTATTAAAACGCTCCATCAATGTAAACGATGGCAACGATTTCAAAGGTATTTAAAGAAACTGCAACATTATGTGTGCTCGTATTTATATCTGTGTATATTGTCTATCTCTGTCTATGAGCTTGACTAGGGACCGTGAATGCTCATATTATTACCCCACAGCGCACTCTGGTGGTGAACACGTATGATCACAACAATAAACCCCGACCTAAGTAAGGTTGTAGAGTTTGAGTTTATTTCTCCTTTTATTGGAAAAAGCGATGAATGTACAAAGTTAAAACATGTATTTTAAATACAGCAAAGACGCTTGTGCAGCTCATTCAACAAATAGAAAATGAGGCAGACAGATTAAGAAATCATAAAATGTTTTATTACACTTTTTACCATATACTGTACATGTTCCTAAAGACAGAAACAGAATTGTGTGGAAACTGTCACATTGTTTTGGTTTGTCGTCATGGTAACCGATTCCACCTGGTCTCATGTCATTGTCCACAACCTCAGGGACCAGTCTAAACACTACTTTTTCAATACATGAAGAAGAAACGAGTTGAATACAGTCAAATCCAGGTAATTATACAACGTTTATAGTTTCCTCAGATACACATTCAATTACATTTGCAACATCCCAAATATAACCAAAACAGAATAGAAATCAAATATACACAAGTCATAAAAAAGAGGTCAATAATGAAATACTTTTCAAAATACAGTGAAAGGTAGTTTCTCAGGATACTTTATGTCAGACTCAACACAGCTTTGTAATCCATAAAGCACAGTAATGGTGAAGTAATGCGTAAGGAATGCAGATTTTAAAATTGTTAACACAGACACCTCTGATCAGTCAAGTCTAATGCTTTAAATTATGCTTATGATCAGTTCAATACTCATTTCTTCTGACACCTGTTCCCTGTAGCTATAACCAGTGCTGCCACCGAGACGTATAAAAATAAAACCTCTGAGAAATGATGAACATACATCAGTGATGGATGGAGTCGTTTATATAAAGGAATAAAAACAAGTATATAGTGTTACACCTTTCACCGCGACACAAGCTTTGTAGATATTAGTGTTTGTACAGGAACAGGGAGCTACGTTTAAAGACATATTTCATCATGCAAAAACACAGACTGCGGAGGAATGGTGCAACAGTTAAAATACACTAGTGTCTTATGTGCACGCACTTCACAGGGACGGCCCATTGCCATGGCGACTGGTCTCTTGTTTACAGTAAAAATCCACCAGAATCATGTCCAGCTCTGTTGAGTAAATATAATATATGTTTATATATAACAATGTCAGTTTAAAAAAGTAAACAAGCACGTCGATAATCACGGTTAGTGTTGTGTGTGTGCAGTAGTGACGGCAGGAAAAACAGCAATTCTGTTCAGTATTGCGATATTCTGAGCACGTTATTAAAATGCAGAAGTATTGTGATGTTTCATTCCATAATTATCTTTCACTTTTGAGTTCACTCTGGTTCCATCTGGGGTTGATGTGCTGGGAGCTCAGCATAGTGTGAGATCAAGTGTTTGCTTCAGTTCATGTGATGTGCAGACCATAATAAATGTCACATTTGACATTTACCTCCATGTTTGTAATGTCTTTAAATAATGTCGAAATATATTGCAGAATCAAATCACATTACTTGCTGCTTCGCAATATGTAAGAAATCTCAAAAAATTGTGAATTGTGGCCCAAATATTGCAGCACTATCGAATCCTTACATTTTCTACATCTCCCGCCTCTAGTGTCGTGTTCATGTGCAGCAATATTGTGTCTGTAGTTTGAATCTACACTTTTCTACTTTTACGAGTCATAAAAGTGAATGTAGTGTTGCTTGGAAAAATCTTATAAAAACAAATCAAATGCATCTAAATACTACATGGAAGTGTTGTGTAACCTCAAAGTGTCTCTTGAACTACACTGCTTCTAAAATGTTCAGTTAGTGTCACTGACGATGACAATGACCATGTGCTCCTCCTCCAAACCCCCCACAGTCCTTTTGGCCGTCTGCAGAAACTGTTGAGAGAAGTCTCCAGGAGGAAAGGCGTAGAGCATGGCGCCCGTGCTGCCCTCCGCCGCCGGCAGACTCACCACTCCAGCCGCCTCCTTGTTCCGCAGGTATGTGACCAGGTGGCGTAGGAGGCGCACTTGTAGGCCAGGCTCGGGGGCCACGGCCTGGCGGTCCACGGGGCCCTGGAGAGCAAGGAGCACGGCAAAACCATCAGGACGCCCCAGCTTAATGCGGCGGGACACTTCATCCAAACGGGTCTGGTCCATGCGCAGGCGCTGGGCGATCTTTAGCTGACTGTGCTGCTTCTGGCTCTGCTGCTTCAGGGTGTCCTTCATAATGTTGTTAAAGAACGAGGCCCCTCCCTCCAACATGTACAGGTTTGTGGGAAAGCTGCTGTTCTTTAGGGCAAAAAATCCGTGCCACATTTTGGCGAGTGTGGCCTGTGCAAAGTCAGAGAGCGTAGTGGGTAAGGCGTGAGTGTCAGTGTGGCGAGCGGGGGAGGTCGTGGACTCGCTGGAGCGATGGTGGTGGTTACTGAGCTCGCTGGACGTTCGTTTGCTGTGGTGGCGGATAGAGGGCGCATCGTCATCGTTACCAACGGAGTGACCTGCTCTGGTCATGTCTGGGGAGTGGTCCCTGGGTTCAGTGGTGGAGTCTGGGGCCCTAACCCGCGCTCTGTCAGGGCTTGCATCAGGAGACAGCATGCCCCCCTGCCCCCGCAGCCTGGACCTGCCCCTGTCCTTCTCTCGCTCCCGCTCTTCTGTCGGTCGATCGGGGGAAAGGCTTCTGCTCCTCCTGCGGTTCCTCCTCTCCTCACGTTCCTTAAGCCAGCGTTCGCGGCTGCGGCTTCGACTCCTCCTCCTGCCAAATGCCTCGGCTCTCCTCTCCAGGCTGCGTGTGGGGCTACTGGGGAAGTCTCGCTCCAGAAGCACCCTGTCCCGCTCCCTCTGGGACAGGAGTCCGTGAGCAGGGGGAGAGGACCGGTCTCTACTGCCCCGTAACTCTCTCTCCAGGCTGCGGTGGCGGCTGTAGGCCTCTCCCAGCAGCTCGTAGTGGGAAGGGAGCGCAACCGCAGGCTGATAGCCGGCTGGAAACGGACGTGACGGACTCTCCTCCACCTTCGCAAAGTCAACTCTGAGGCGACGCTCAGGACCTCCCAGTGGGAACCCCCTCATCTGTGTGCATGCAGCCTGAGCAGCATCCAAACTCTCATACTGAATATAAGCAAAACTGTCCCCTTTAACATAGTCTATGTTCCTAATGCTCCCAAACCGATCAAACTCTCGGGCCAGAGCAGCGAGCGAGTTACTGGGACCCAGACCTCCCACCCAGAGTCTGGTGGTGGGGTTAGCTTTTCCATAACCAATCTTGATAGGGTTACCTCCGATTAGCCGCCCCTGCATGGCCACTTTGGCTCGATGGGCCATGTCCAGGTTCTGAAACTTGACAAAAGCATATGCTCCGCCTTGACCTCGTGCAGGTCGTTTTATTACAACGTCTTCAATAATTCCATATTTGTCAAACCCTCGTCTTAACTCGGCCTCAGTGACGTTTCCGTCTAAATTTCCAATAAAAAGGTTACTGGTGGCTCGCTGGTCGTCCTCTGGCTTCAAGTCCTCCACCACTGGCATCTGGGGCAGACCATAGGGCCGGCCCCTCTCATCCAACATGCCATAGTAATCCAGAAGCCTCTCGCGCTCTCTGCTCAGCCCTAAAGTCTCTAAAGCGTAGTGTCTGGCTCGGAGGTCTCTCATGCTGCTCACGCCCGCAGCGGGAGGTGAGAGCGAGCGCTGTCTGTATGGGTACGGGGCGTGCAGGGGGAGGTAGCTCACCTCCGGGGGGGTCACGCTTCTCTTCCTCACGTACATAGGTTCAATCTTTAGCTGCCGGTCCCCCAGCATCAGCCTGGAGGACTTGGCGTGTCTGGCGCCCTTCGCATCCTCTGGGTGACGGAAGTTCACATACGCGATCCTCCCGAGCTCCGGTGTGTGCGACAGCTTCACGCTCACGTCCCCGAACTTTTTGAACTCGTGGAACAGCGTATCCTCCACGTCCTCGTCCGACACCTGCGCGCCCAGGTTACTGATGAGCAGGGTCTTATACTCCAGCGTGGCGGGTCTAGCGACGGGCAGCTCTGCGGCGGTGGTCCGGAGCGGGGGTCTGCCCAGGAGGCTGAGCTCATGGCGGTGGTGCAGCTCCGCTGCGGCGGCTCGCTCCTCCCTCAACCGCGGCTTCTCTCGCTCTCTGCTCCTGCTGCGGTGGCGGTGGTAAGCACGGCTCTCCGCCAGCAGCAGAGCCAGCGGTGGCGGCGGCAGCTCCTCTCTCCGGGTGCTGTCTCGGTCTCTCTCCCTCTCTCGCAGCCGCTTGGCGATGGCCCTGGACGGGCTCGTCTCTCTCGCGGCCTGCCTCTTCATTTTCAAAGGATGGAGCTCAAACTTTTCGATGCTCGGATGGAATTCTTTCCCGGATAATTAATTCCCTCCGTGTTGATAAAACCGTAGCAGCCACGCAGATTTACGGGGACACGTAGAGCCTATTTGTGCATACAACGTGAGCAAACATACCCGAATATTAAGAGAAATATTTTAAAAACATGTCAGCATCTCGGTCCCCGCACCGACGCCGCCATCTTGGACAATAGGAATGTGCTCACTCTCCGGGGGCGGGGCGGAGTGACGCAGGCCTTACGCGTGACGTCACCCGCTTGTCTTTATTTATCTTCAAACGTTCAAACTTTACTTTCTATGGTTCGAACGCATTTTAAATTTAGATATAGGATGCAAATTACAATTAATATGAATATGGGGAGCCCTGGCCTCGGTGCCACAGTCTCAAGTTATGTGCCTTTGATTATAGTTCCTTCTCTGTTCCTGAAGCCACATTCATTCAAATTTCATATTTCCATCCCATCGCTCACTTTCAGCGGAACTATCTGACACAGGATGAACCATAGATCCAGGCAAATGCAGCGTCTATTTGAATGTGGACAAAACACATTCAAATAGTGCCGCTGTATAATGTCAGAATGTGCAAACGTCCCAGACTTTCATGCTGCTAAGATGTACCGATGTATGTTTTATTATTTTATTATAGTTATTGTTCACTTTTCCTGTGCTGTGTACCCCTCATTCCTATACTGTTCTGAAACTGGTGATGCAACACTGACATTTCCCCACTGTGGGACTAGTAATGGCTATTTGCGGTGTTATTTGTAGTGTTTCCAACTTCCATCGATGTTCAGCTCCAGATGTATTTATTTTTATATTTAGATTAAAGGATACATTTTATTTTAGGAACAAAAGTTTGCGGGAATTTAAACCCGTGAATAGAAAAATAGTGTAAAAGCAGAAAGTTTTGGCGTTGACTTATTGTGTAGTGACGTTTGTACAGAGGGTGGCTCTGTGTCCACTTTTTGTAAATAACGTTATATCGTTGAGTTGTTTCATGAATCCCCACATTCTTACAAGAACAAAGAATTTTAAACAAAAAGTTCTTGATTGACAGGTGCCGTTACATGTGCTGTTAAGAGATGAAGTCTGAGATCATCCTCCCTTTTTATTCATTTATTATTACTTAGGTTATTTTGTATTCTTGTATTGCGTTATCTCTCTGTACAAAAATTACATATTGTATAGTGTGCATTAATAAAACACTAAAAAATTCAATGAAAACATTTAAACAGTTGGACTTTTCTTTTAGATCATCAGACCCAAGAAATGTGAAGTGACGGCAAACCAGAGATGGAGAATTGACAGCTTTGAAACGTCCTCAGAGAAAACATAACTACTATTCAGATCTTTGACCTCTGCCAACTCTTTATTATCATAGAGCAAAAAAAAGAGGTACAATAAATGCTCGCATTCGTTTTCCCAGAACGCTATATTATTTGTTAAAATAGTAACAAAGTTTTTACAATAGAAGGTTTTTAAAACACTCATAAGTTGGGACGAATAAAGGATCTCTGAATCTTAATTAAGTTTGGAAAAAGTGCCACACTCACACCTGCAGCCAAACAGTTCTCAATCTTCTTCACACACACACATAAGACACACACACAGACACACACCTTATGGGATAAATAAGGGTCAGTGGATTGTCATATTGAAGTATTTTTTTTTATAAATGTGTTTCAATTTACCCAAACAACGCCCTAAAAAACCCAAAAAACCCCGGTTGCAAAGTGAGTACAAGAAAATATTGGAGGACTCTGAGTGTGACATCACTCATCACTGATGTGTCCATCTCTTAGAGAAAAGAAAATGATTCACATTAAAGAAAAGCTGCAGCTTTTCAGGAAAAAGGCAAAAACTTGCAGTAAATAAAAAATAACTAAAAACTAAAAGTCATAGATTTCTTATTTAATAACATAAGTAGCTTTTGAATGGACCAAATACTGATAATCTTGACGTGATCTTATGATTTTTACATCATTATTTACACACAAAGAGGTGAATGATGCCGGAGCCTCCTCAGGAGCCTCCTGCATCATTCACCTCTTTCTGTCAATCAGCTTCAGATTGATGAGTTTGACAAAGATGCAGGAGACTCTGCATTCAACATTTATGGACACTGGTTTCTGTCCCTTATGGACCAATGGCTCTGTGTCTGATATCATTGCATTTATTGTGTTTGAACAGTTTGATTCTTTAATCTGTGTTGGCGAATCGTCAGCTTTGTAAAGTCCTCTGAGATAACTACTGTTGATTATTAATTTAATACACAATTAAATTGAATGAATGACTCATGCAATGACAGAAAGACCCTATTTTCTAAATGAAAGACCATTCAGAGACAATGGAATAAAGTGTGCGTTCTGAGAGTCCTGTCCCCATTTTAAACATGTTCCATTCGTTTAAGTATCAAAGTGACACCATTATCAAAAGAGCATTTATAAAAAGTGTATTCGCTGGGAAATCCTTCAAACTACGGCTTAGAAGGTTCTTTTAACAAAACAAAAGTGTAAAGAAGCTAGTATCTCCCTCATGCTGCTAACGTACAGATACAACTATACATTTCTTGCAATTCAATTCAAGTTATTCTTGTACCGCTCTGTATCACCACAGTAGTTATCTCAGAAGACTTAACAAAACAGTTGAAATCGCCAACACAGATCAGAGAATCAAAACAGTCCAAACGCAAAAAAATATATATAAAACACATAGGTATTGTTCCATAGGGGAGTTGACCAAAGTCCATGAATGTTGACAAACATTCAACATTTATCATTCATTCTAGTTCATATTTTTTTTCTGCTAAGGTTAGAGATTTATTTTGGTTTTAGTGGAAAGGTTCACTTATCTTGTGTGCTCTTCATTCGTTCTATATCTGATGATGCAACACTGATTTTTCCCCAGTTTGGGACGTATAAAGAATCTCAAACATGTGGTAAATAGAACTAGCTTCACTTTTGTCGTTTTTAAAATAACCTTCTCCGCCTTAAACATAAAGACGACATCGTGAACTGCTTAGATTTAAACCATCAAAAGAGAAATGAGACGACAAACAGAAACTATAACAACTGAAACATACAAACATGGTCCTTTTAGAGCTGAGGTGTCAAACCCGAGCAGGAGCACATCAGACTCCACCCGTTTCCTCAAATCTTCACGTTAAGACTGGAGTCCTGGAGGAAATGGGCGGAGTCTGGTGTGCTCCTGCTCAGGTTGGAGCTAAAATCTGCAGCCACACCTGCCCTTTGAGGACCGGTTTGACACCTCTGTTTTAGAGAATCAGCACATCCATCCCAGCCCAGTAGAGGCCCCTCCCTCACAGGTCTGTCCGTGCTCTGGCCGCTGTCGGAGCGTACTTGGGCATGAGTTCTGTGATTTTGCGAATGAAGTCAGACTTTTCCGCGCAGCCTTTACAGGATTCACCCCATTCTTCCAAGATCTTCTTCAAATCCTTCACTTTGAGCTTCTTCAAATCCACAGTGCTCAGGTCCAGCTGTTTGTCTACAAAAAAAGTCATAAAAAAGGTCCCATATTAGTCCCAAAGTAGTTTTTTCATTGATTCTCTAAGGCTTTAGTTAGAGCTTTAGTTTAGTTTAGGCTTTAGTTAGCGATCTTTCTCCTTCTACAGAGGCAGCAAAACACCGCAATTCACATAAATGACACAGCACGAAGCCCGCCTCCAGGAAAAGATTGACAGGTGAGCAATCAAGTCAGTGAATCAGGGCACAGATTCTAATCTATTCTTCTGCGACACTAGTACTAAGCTCTTTGTTGGCATCGTTGGTAAGTACTGGGCTGCTAACTCGTCTTATTCTACTGTTAGCTAAATAATTAGGGTCTGATTCTGGATCTGAAACTAATGTACTGGCGAGGACCAAAACATGGGTGAAACATGGAACCTTTAAAAACAATACAAACAATAAAACGTCTTTACCATATTTCAGCTCGCAGATCTGGCTGTCTTTTTTCTTTAGTTTCTCACAGATCTTTTCGGCAGGAACATGGTAGCTCATAGGTTTGGACACCTCGTTGATGATCTTGGTGGCTGCATCACTTGTTGCTCCAATGTAATAACACTATAACAAAAGACACAAGTTTAGTAAGTTTAATCTTAGACTTCAGTGGGATATATGGCAGAATATCAGTCAAAACAGACCAGAGAGAGAGAGACACCAGAGAGAGAGAGAGACAGAGAGAGAGAGAGAGAGACACCAGACAGAGAGAGAGAGAGACACCAGAGAGAGAGAGACCAGAGAGAGAGAGACACCAGACAGAGAGACACCAGACAGAGAGACACCAGACAGAGAGACACCAGACAGAGAGAGAGACACAAGACAGAGAGAGAGAGACACAAGACAGAGACCAGAGAGTGGGAAAGAAGTAAAAACTTTTAGATTTAGCCTTGAATAAAAACTATGATAAGGGAATGAAGATAGGAGAGAACTTTGATAAGTGTCACTTACAAAGCGGTTGTCTTTGCCTTTGGCGTCTTTGCAGGCTTTAAACAGGGCTTTCTCAATATCAGGATTATTGAACTCCACGTTATTCTCGTTCAAGGAATCATAAAACTTTCCAAGAAAGCTCACACACACTGAAAAAAAACGGAAAAAGAAAGTCATTTATATATGGTTCAGAGAATAGACATCAAAGCAGATCTAAACCAAAGTCTGATATATTAGTGCCATATGAACCAACTATAAGGAGCACAGGGACTAGCCTCCTGCTGGAGCCCAGAGTCAAGACTTTATGCAGCTAAAATCTGGAACAGTCCTGCTGAATATGTGAGACATGCTTCATTAAGTGCAAACACTTAATGAAGGGTAGAGCAAAAGCTTGAACAGTCATGAGCCAGGACACAGGACCTTATTAGAGACAAGACATCATTATACTCTGAATAGACACATCACTTACATTATTCACATAGAGTCACAACACAGAGGAACAGAAACATCAGATGGAAACACTGAAGTGAAACAGATCATTTAAATATCAAAATAATTTGTTCTACTGTATTGATTTATTTTCATGGGCAAAATATTGCAATACAAGCGACAGCAGGAGAAGGCTCTGCTCACTGTAGCAGCAATATAAATAGTTGGGATAAAAGCGTTCAGTAAGACCATTTTTCATTTAGTTACTTTAACTAAACAGTTAGGTGACATTTTAAAGAGAATGTTACGGAACATTTACAATAAACATATTGCTGAATTTGGAGCCGCTATTTTAACTGGTTTGTCACAGGACACCGTTCAGTGTCATCGAAAGCTTCTGTGACTACTTTAAAATAGACCTGGACTCTCAGGGTTCTTCAGTGACTCCGGTCTACAGCAAAATTGTTGCTGACTAAATGTGGCATAGAACAAAAGAAATCTCTAAATCAGCATTCAAGGCCATAAATGAGGTTGTAGCATTGATATAATAATGTGTAAACCACAGGTGTCCCGTTCACTGTGTCCCAGAGCCTCCTGCTGCTAATGTACAAATGTATACAACTATACATCTATGCACCCGAATATACAGGATTTTATGCTTGCTTCTTCTTCTTGCTTCTAGTATAAAGTTAATGTTGACGTATCTTGTGCTGTGTGCTCCTCATTCCTACTGTTCCGAACTGATGATGCAACACTGACATTTCCCCACTGTGGGACAAGTAAAAGATCTCTTCATCTTGATCTACTTGGACACTCGGGGGACTACAGTCTTTAGCAGAATGTTTAACAAATGGGGGACTGAACAAAATATTATAATATCTCCAATCAAGAGCAGGAGTGAAAAACCCTTACCTTCACACTCTCCCTCCTTCAGAGCATCCGAGCTCCCAGGAACCAGAGCAAGAGCGAGGGCCACAGACAGCCCGCCTAAACACAACATGACTCTGGCGGGTACAGTGGTACGTAAAGACCGGTGAGGCCGCTGAAACACCCGGAGAAAAGCAGAGAAAAGCAGAGAAAAGCACAGAAGTTACGGTCTACAGTCCTACACATGAGCTGTAGTGATGGAGGAGCACCGGCACGAAACCACTGCGTCTCTTCCTGACTATACAAGCTTTCCGGGGGCCACGTGCTACACTTCTCACTTCTGATTGGTCCAGAGGCCGAGCACATCCTGTAGTTTGGCACGCAGTGTTTTGCGATTGGTCAAAGGAGCAGCGTTTAGGGGACAACGTCCAGTTGGCGCCGCGTGATTGGACCAGCGCCGCGCTGTGTTTTCATGTGGCATAAACTCTCACCAACACTTGTTATTCAAGTTTATTCGCCAACATCAGTCAGCGTCCAGCATTCGTGGCTCCATACATTTCACGTTTCTTTCTAAAGAATATTTGTCTTTGTAATGTAGACTATTTTTTCCCCAGCCCACTTTAGGATGCACTATTCTACCATATGACTGCCTCAGTAACCTCATAAGTACAGTGGGGCTGTTGCGGCAGTAAAGTGCCAAAATGGCTACAATTGAATTTCATTTCAAAAAGTAGTACTACTAATATTTCTAAATAAAAGATCATTTCATAAAAATAAAAATAAAAATTACTCAGAAATAATCCATATAAAGTGGGGCATAAAAGTATTTAGTCAGCCAACAACTGTGCAAGTTTTCCAACTTAAAAAGATGAGGAAGGCTTGTAATTTTCATCATAGCTATACCTTAACTGTGAAACAGAATGAGAAAAAATATGGTCGATAACAAACAAGCATCCATCCATTTTCTTCCCCTTAATCCCTTTCTGGGTCGGGGGGTGGCAGCACACACCCTGTGCACCCAGTACACAGAGCACCTTGCCCTCTGCAGGTGGTGAGTCCTCAGGAGCAGACAAGCAACCGATCTTTAACTCCTTCTTTAAGAGGTTCCTTTGTCCTCTACTAGTTACTTGTATTAATGACGACTGATTGAACTCTCTCAGTATGAAAGACAGCTGTCCACAACCTCTAACAGTCACACTCCAAACTCCACTAAGACCAAATAGCTGTTCTGAGACACCAGAAATAAAAATGTAGACCTGCACCAGACTGGGAAGACTGAATCTGCAACAGGTAAGCAGTTTGTGTGAAGAAATAAACTGTGGGAGCAATTATTAGAAAATGGAAAACATAGAAGACCACTAATAATCTCCCTCGATCTGGGGCTCCACACAAGATCTCACCCCATGGGTTCACAATGATCACAAGAACGGTGAGCAAAAATCCCAGAACCACATGGGGTCCTGCAGAGAGCTGGGGCCAAAGTAACAAAGGTAGCAGTACATGTCAAAGGCCCGTCTGAAGTTTGCAAGTGAGCATTTGAATAATCCAGAAGAGGATCGGGAAAATGCCCTATGGCCAGATGAAACCAAAATAGAACTTTTTTTGGTCAAAACTCGACTCATCGTGTTTGGAGGAGAAAGAATGCTGAGTTCCATCCAAAGAACACTATACCTACTGTGAAGCATGGGGGTGGAAACATCATACTTTGGAGCTGTTGTCTGCAAAGGGACGAGGATGACTGGTCCGTGTAAAGGAAAGAATGAATGGGGCCATGTATCGTGAGATTTTGAATGAAAACCTCCTTCCATCAGCAAGGCTATAAAGATGAAACGTGGCTGGGTCTTTCAGCATGACAATGATCCCAACACAACGCTCGGGCAACGAAGGAGTGGCTTCATAGGAAGCATTTCACGGTCCTGGAGTGGCCTAGTCAGTCTCTAGATCTCAACTCCATATAAATCTTTGGAGGGAGCTGGAAGTTTGTGTTGCCCAGCGACAGCCCCTAAATATCACTGCTCTAGAGGAATGGGCCAAAATACCAGCAACAGTGTGTGCAAACCTTGTGACGATTTACAGAAAAAGTTTGAGCTCTGTCATTGCCAACAAAGGCCATACAACAAGTACTGAAATTCACTTTAACCAAATCATTTTCCATGTGATTTGCCTCAATTCTTTTTCTCATTCTGTCTCTCATAGTTGAGGTTAAAATCACAGGCCTCCCTCATCTTTTTTAAGTGGGAGAACTTGCACAATTGGTGGCTGACTAAGTATTTTTTTGCCCCACTGTAGAAACAGAAAGAGCCCCAAAGTTGGGAAGACCAAAAATTTACATCATCATAATACACTCCCAAAACTAACAGCCGTCACATTGACTGCTCTGGGAGGTCATATATAGAGGGAATATTATCTTAAAGTTTCAGTGTTGGGATCCTGAGGCAGATCACACAGATAATAATCACTTGTCGAGGTCACGATAAAACACCAGATGATTGTGCTGCAGCTGCTGAGATAACGCTGAGACTCTGTGCTCTGAACCAGGACCTCCTCTCTGCCTCTGAACCAGGCTCTCCTCTCTGCCTCTGAACCAGGCTCTCCTCTCTGCCTCTGAACCAGGCTCTCCTCTCTGCCTCTGAACCAGGACCTCCTCTGTCCTCTGAACCAGGCTCTCCTCTCTGCCTCTGAACCACGACCTCCTCTGTCCTCTGAACCAGGACCTCCTCTCTGCCTCTGAACCAGGACCTCCTCTGCCTCTGAACCACGACCTCCTCTGTCCTCTGAACCAGGACCTCCTCTGTCCTCTGAACCAGGACCTCCTCTGTCCTCTGAACCAGGACCTCCTCTGCCTCTGAACCAGGACCTCCTCTGTCCTCTGAACCAGGACCTCCTCTGTCCTCTGAACCAGGACCTCCTCTGCCTCTGAACCAGGACCTCCTCTCTGCCTCTGAACCAGGACCTCCTCTCTGCCTCTGAACCAGGCTCTCCTCTCTGCCTCTGAACCACGACCTCCTCTGTCCTCTGAACCAGGACCTCCTCTGTCCTCTGAACCAGGACCTCCTCTGTCCTCTGAACCAGGACCTCCTCTGTCCTCTGAACCAGGACCTCCTCTGCCTCTGAACCAGGACCTCCTCTGTCCTCTGAACTAGGAACAAGAGTGTTGTGATCATTCTGCTGCCTTCTTTGTAGTTCTCCTTTTAAAGTTTTTACACTTATAGTCAAACACATGTGGCCAGAATCTAACCTGTGACACACGGAGCTCCTAACCATTGATTACTGATCAATCTGAATCTGAATCAGTACACATACACATTTTTATGTTTTAGAAATATACGTTGATTCTTACTCTATTCTCTGCTTCTCTACTTTCGACTTGTTTGCAGTGCACAGAGAGCCAAAGCAATTTCCCAGTCTGTAATTCCTGTCACTTACATGGCAATGAAAACTATTCTGATTCTGATGTTCTTGTTTTTTGTAAATGTTTTTTTAATAAAAAGATAGGGCCAAGATCCGCTACATTATACTGAACAAACTGGTAACCCAACAGAGGGCTTCATTCTGCTCTCTGATCGGACAATCAAGGAGAAGAAATCTGAAACAAATATTGTAAACATAATTTTGAAACAAATATTGTAAACATAATTTAGTATTTATACTTAAAAATATTATTATTATTTATACATAATAGTGGGCTCAGTTACATTATTTTAAACAGTTGTGTCTGTTCCTCCAGGTGCTCCGGTTTTCCCTCCCACAAAATAATATTTATAATAGCTATGAGTGAGTGGCCCTCACTGTGTGGTGATACAGTGCATCCGGAAAGTATTCACAGCTCTTCACTTTTTCCACATTTTGTTATGTTATAGCCTTATTCCAAAATGTATATAAAAAAAAAATCCTCACAATTCTACACACAACACTCCATAATGAAAACATGAAAAAAGTTTTTTTGAGATTCTTGTAAACTTATTAAAAATTAAAAAAAAATAAGAAACCACAATTACATAAGTATTCACAGCCTTTGCTTAATACTTTGTTGATGCACCTTTGGCAGCAATTACAGCCTCAAGTCTTTTTGACTATGATGCCACAAGCTTGGCACACCTGTCTTTGGGCAGTTTTGCCCATTCCTCTTTGCAGCACCTCTCAAGCTCCATCAAGTTGGATGTCGGTGCACAGCCATTATCAGATCTCTCCAGTTCAATTGGGTTCAAGTCTGGGCTCTGGCTGGGCCACTCAAGGACATTCACAGAGTTGTCCTGAAGCCACTTCTTTGTTATATTGGCTGTATGCTTAGGGTGGTTGTCCTGCTGAAAGATGAACCGTCGCCCCAGTCTGAGGTCGACCACCATGCTTCACTGTAGGGATGGTATTGGCTTGGTGATGAGCAGTGCCTGGTTCCCTCCAAACATAATGCCTGGCATTCACGCCAAAGAGTTCAATCTTTGTCTCATTAGACCAGAGAATTTTTTTACTCAATGTCTGAGAGTCCTTCAGGTGCCTTTTGGCAAACTCCAGGCTGGCTGCCATGTGCCTTTTACTAAGGTGCGGCTTCCGTCTGGCCACTGTACCGGCCTGATTTGTGGATCGCTGCAGAGATGGTTGTCCTTCTGGAAGGTTCTCCTCTCTCTACAGAGGAACAATGGAGCTCTGACAAAGTGACCATCGGGTTCTAAGTCACCTCCCTGCCTCAGGCCCTTCTCCCCCGATCGCTCAGTTTAGATGGGTGGCCAGCTCTAGGAAGAGTCCTGGTGGTTCCAAACTTCTTCCATTTGCGGATGATGGAGGCCACTGTGCTCATTGGGACCTTCAAATCAGCAGAATTGTTTCTGTACCCTTCCCCAGACTTGTGCCTCGAGACAATCCTGTTTCGGAGGTCTACAGTTTGTGCTCTGACATGCACGGTCAACTGTGGGACCTTATATATACAGGTGTGTGCGTTTCCAAATGCTCTGTAAAAACATGGACCAGACACTGCTCCTTATCTAAGATCCGCTGGGTCACGTGGGCTTGCTGCGGTGACGTCAGCGGTGTAGTGTTGCAGAGTCACTGCAAATGTTTGACTGTAAACAAGGCCGAGGAGACCGTGTGAGGGCAGAGCTGAGCGCCGTGAAAACCCCAGTCTTTTACATCGGTCCAACATCCATCTGCAGTTCAGCCATTAGCTTCGTGAAGATTCTCAGCTGGAATTAATTTCGCATATTTCAAAGACAGTCGTGAAGAGCTGAAGCTACTGGAGGCTAACGCTAAGCTAGCAGCTGCAGATTCATTGCCTTATTTGTCGATAGCCTCTTTAGCCTGAAAACACTCACGATCCTCAGAGTGAATACACTTTATGCTCTGCTCATACGTTTCTTTAACACGTCCAGGACATCCACAACCGTAAGTAATGCCATATGTTTTAATAATGTTCACATATTGTTCGAAGTATCGTGTAGCTTTACCGTTAGCATGGGGCTACGGGCTAACCCTAGCCTGACGTACAGACAGACAGTACGTCAGGCTAGGGTTAGATGAGGCAGATTTATACTGAAAGATAAATCCTTGTACGAATTAAAAATGGATTGCCATAATGTAAGGTATTTTGATTATTGAATGTACTCAAAATGACTCTCATTGTCTAGATGTAATGACTGTGATTCAGGATCTTGAATCCTTTGGGGAGCTACTTGAAAGGGATGAGCTTCTGGTAGTATTCAATTAAAAAAAGATTTTCCTTGGAAGATAATAATGTTGTCTCTCAAGTATTAATTGAGTTTCTTTTGTCTGCAGAGCCGAGCATTAGTTAATTAATTACAAGTCAAAATAATAACTAAATCCATTAATGTATGTAAATTATGTTCATGGGGTGAGAGTTGCTGTCGAAATGGTGTCAACTGTGTTGTTTATTTAAAGTAAAATCATTATGGGATTCATCCAAACTTTATGACATGGGAAAGTCTCTCATTGGTCTGTTGCCACAAGAAGAAACACATGTCACACCTCCACAACTGATCACATCAAAATGAGTCACTCAAGGAAGAAAACAAGGAAGGGTGACAGACAGAGAGACAAGAGGGTTAAGAAAGTCCAGGGGCAGAAGAATCCAAAGAGTTCATTGCAACCGTCCTCACTAACAAGCATTCCCAAATACATTTGTGCCATAAAAACAGAGCCCTAAATCATTTATTAACCATTAAAATAACTCTCTCTTTAAAAACCGACTTTAGTCAGTTTCTCCCATCTATATATTCCTGTGTTTGTGTGTGTGATGATTATATATATAAATATAAGACTATATTTTTGCCTTTAACGTGTTTGCACACTTCTGTCTTTTGCACAAATCTGAGTGATTCTATCCATGCCAAATGTGACATGTAAATTTCTCCTGTGTGAGATCAATAAAATCTATCTTCTTATTTGCTAAAGTATCTCCATGAACTAGAGAATGTAAATTATTGATCTTATTCGTCAGCTTGAATTAATAATATCAATCAAAAAAGGGAAATCACAGTTTTTCCAACCTCCTATGCCCCATGTGTGCGACTGTGTGTTGTTATAGTGTGTCTGACTGGGACTGCTGTGTTTCAGCTGGGTGGCTGGTCAGAGCAGCCTCCTCCGACGATGGAGGCAGGAGGGAAGGAGTGTGAGGAGGAGACTCTACAAACCGCATTCAAGAAGCTGAGAGTCGACGCAGAAAGGTGCAGTTCATGAATGTTCATGTGTTGTTGCCCGGAACTTGTGTATCAGTGCTGGCTCTCATGGGACTCAACCCAAAACATGCTTCATAACTCTTCTGCCCAAGATGTATGTCCTGCACCTTCCGGGCCTGGACGGTGCAGGACTATTATAGAAAAGTTTAGACTTATGTACACAGAACTGTGTTGAGTCACATCAGAGTTTATGGTTTATATTATACCACTGTGATGCTGCTCATTGTTCCTGACTGAGGTCAGAGTTCAAAGGTGCAGCAGTATTTAACATGTTGTGTTTATTTCAGTTTATGTGGAGCCGTCAGTGCCTCAGAGGCGGTGGCTTCACGATCTGCTTCTCGCTCTGTTCCTGACACTAACGGTGCAAAGCCCAAACTCGTCTGTCAAAAGGACAACTGGCATGGGTTGGTATTGGGTATATTTAATATTTATAATTTTATATTTATATATATATATATATATATATATATATGGGCTTGTTCACACTAAAGGGCACAAAAGTGTGACAAAAGGCCAAAAATTAGATTTTAACAATCAGAAGATATTTTATGTTTTTTATGTTTCCAAACACCTCCTCTGTCCATTAGAAGTTGCTAGAACATAACTGTTTTATACATTAGACAAGTTTCCTATAGCGGCCCTGTTTATTTTATGTAACGGACGTGATGATTTGACAGAATGAGCTTTGTGGAAGTTTGATAGGTATTTTCAGATGTCCACATTTGATTCAGAGATTCTATTTTTTTACACAAAGTAGATGCAAAGTGATACTTTCATATTGTCAAGCAATTAAATGTGAAAACAGACCAGAATTTTTTTTTAGATTTTAGTTTAATTTTTAGAGAAAAGAGGACCGTCCTCATCACGTCCGTTATACATTTTTCAAGGGTCATTTAATTCATTAATTAATTTTAATTTTTTCACAATTCCTTTTTAAATCAAGTGATTTCCTTCTGTTGTGTTAACCATGTAAATCTTGTGGGATTTCATCTTCTTCTTTTTCAGACTGAGGAAATTTTATTTTCTATGTAACTGGCGTCACAGTAGAATGGTCCAATCAGAGGCTGATTTGGTCGTTTAAATTGTTGCTAAACATTTTTATGTCAATCTTTCCTTTAGATTTTTTCCACACTATCTCTTCAATGTGTCTGTGTTTGAAATCTTTCTTCCAATCTATGATAATTTTAGTTTTTAAGTTATAACCTTTTAAAGTCCAGATACTTCAATTGTCACTTTACTGTGAACACACAATATATATATATATATATATATATATATATATAAAATGTAACATATTTTTTGTGTTTAAAGTGAACACACATTTTGATGTGTCTTATTGCATCCTCAGTTGTAAACGTTGTGTTTTCTGCAGATGCACGAGGAAAACCTCCAGAGGAGCGTCCAGAACACAGCGCCGCCGCCGCTCCAAGTCCCCCATTCTGCAGCCCCCAAAGTTCACCTACTGTAGCGCCTCTCCACCCGCCACTTTGGCGCCTCCTGCAGGATGCATGAAGCAGCACACTCTGGCATCACCTGCTGGCTGTGTGAAGCAACACACTCTGGTGCCCCCTGCTGGCTGCTCGACGCTCCATGAGTCCTGCGCTTCAGGGACATCGTCCTCAGTCACGCAGACGGAGCCTTCAGATCCACAAAGCTCCTCTTTGATCTTTGGATCATCTGCAGCTTCAGCCTCTTCCTCACAAGACACTCTTCCTTCAGTCAAAGCCACAGGTGTTCAGGTGGGTGAGGAGAGCAAAGAGGGAGCAGCGTCTGACTTCAGAGCTCTGTCAGAGCAGAGCAGGGCTGCATGTTCCTGCCTCCTTTCTCAGGAGAAGAGCAGTGAGGAGAGCTCCGCCTCTGAGCCTCAGTGCTACTGCCAGAAAAGCGACCACAGCAGCTGGAACCATGTGGAGGTCTACTCCTTCTCAGGGCTGAGAAACGTTGTTACTGAATGTGAAAGATCGAGTCTGGGTCCAGAGGCTCAGAGAACTGTCACTGTGTCCTCAGGCTCTGCTCGCTCCTGCTCAGAGCAGGCCAGAGCTTATGTTGATGACATCACAATAGAAGACCTGTCAGGTTACCTAGAGTATTACCTGTACATCCCCAAGAAGATGTCTCACATGGCAGAGATGATGTATACTTGAACAAAAGATTGAAGCGTTGTATCCTTAAGTTTAAAGGTCTATACTTGGATCGTCAGGATGGTTTCAGGCATGAGGAAGTAAAAGCAGTACTATAGTACAGTTATACAGTACTATAGTACAGTTATACAGTAGTACAATCATAACTGATGCCATTGAGTTTTGTTCTTCACAAACTGCAGACGCTGCAGGTGTTGTGTCCACGTTTTCTCTATGGCTTTTGTTTTGAGTTTACAGAAGTTTTATGAGACGTTGCCAAAGCTGCAGGTTTAACAGAGATGATGCTGTAGGAATATGCAAACGTGTGATTCTCTGTGTGTCCTTTGAACTCATCTGTCTGGATTGATTTGATTTAATAAATATGCCTTGTTCACATTGTGTCTTTCTTCACATTGTATTTGATTATTCTTTTTACAAATATTTTAGTTTATTGGTTCAAAAGCAGAAACATTTTTAAATGTACTTATTGCAAGAAAAACGAAAACCCATCTGTTATATTTACATCCTCAGGAAAAAGATGGATTAAGATCCTGTATATGTCCCATTGGGGAGATTTCAGGTCACAGTATGTTGTATGTTGTGAAAGTCGTATTGTATTTTGTATTGATATGTTTAGCTCACATCTGGTGACAAATACAATACAGAGGAACAGACATAAAACACACCCATGTTTAACAGATAATCTCAAACTCCTGCAGAGGGCGCTGTTACTACATTCTGTCTAAAAAAACACCAATGGGACTCGTGAAAGTTGTGTTTTTCTCTTTCATGACATAACACACATCCATTTAGGTCACAGTAATTATGTAAATGTCTTTGAATGCATTTCTAAAAAAGATGAATCCAAAGCGTTCATTACAACCAGAAGAACAACAAATACGCACATTAAAACGCAAAAAAATTACTTTAAAAGGAGAACAATATATTGATTTTTTTTATTTATCTTGTTTTAAGGGTCACAAGTAGAAAACTATGATTAAGAGACAAAGCAACTTCTCAAATAAAACGAGCACATTAAATTTATGTTGTATTTATTTTGTCTGCAGAAAAAGCAGCAGAAATATTGAATGTGAATAATGTTGGATCTTTTGTTACTTTTCTGGCGGAAAGTGTTCTGTATTTAACTTTCTGTGACATGTGCTCTGAGCTGAGGAGGTTGAGGTTGTGTTGATCAGACGCAGAAGAAAACAGTTTTTCCTTCTGGCCTGAGACATGGGGCCGTGCGCAGAGAAAGGAATGTTAGCGATTACAGCAGAAAACCACTGACATGAGCTTATTCTGGGTCTGACCTCAGGCTCTGCATACACCCTCAGAGCGACCAGCAGTGCATTCTGGGATGAAGTAGATCTCAAATACAGTATAGCAACGACATTAATGGACTTGATCAACATTTTTGAACATTTGTCTCTTCCTCTTATGAAGCAATGGCTTCATGTGCTTGATATTGTTGCATTTTCTGTGTTTGTAAAGTCCTCTGAGATAATTGTTGTTGTGATTTTGGGCTATACTAAAATATATCTTTGGTCTCTCTCTGATATGTCTCTGATCTCTCTTGGTCTGTCTCTAGTCTCAGTCTCTTTCTATTCTCTCTCTGGTCTATCTCTGTTCTCTCTCTGGTCTCCCTCTGGTCTCTCTCTGATATATCTTTGAGATCTCTGGTCTAGTCTCAGTCTCTCTCTGGTCTCTCTCTAGTCTCTGTCTGTTCTCTCTGGTCTCTCTCTGGTCTCTCTCGAGTCTCTCTCCGGTCTTTCTCTGGTCTCTCTCTAGTCTCTCTCTGTTCTCTCTCTGGTCTATCTCTCTGTTCTCTCTCTGGTCTCTCTCTCTGTTCTCTCTCTGGTCTCTCTCTAGTCTCTCTCTAGTCTCTCTCTGGTCTCTCACTGGTCTCTCTCTCTCTAATCTTTCTCACTGGTCTCTCTCTCCGGTCTCTCTCTAGTCCCTCTTTCTGCTCTCCATCTCTCAATTGAAATCAATCAAATTGAATTGCTTTAATTCAAATAGAAATAAGAATATTGGCCGAGTCATTAGACACATGTGAGTAAACCATAGACATCACAGAACGATTCAAATATCCTGAATGTGGTTGAAAACACATTTTTACAAAGTTGTCGATTCTCCAACACAGAGCAGAGAATCAAACCGTTCAAACACATGTGGCTGGATGTGGAGTGTCCAGGATCATCACCACTGTTTAGTAGTTTCAAACTAACCTTTATCTGTGTGTGTATGGACTGACTTGTGTTTCTATGAGAGCTTTTTAAAACACACATATAAAAGATCAAAGTGCGAGTTGGTACAAAAGCAGAGAGGAGTGTCTGTTGATCCACGACGAGTTCTTTATGCAGCAGAGAAAACACAGATCGGTTTTGGCTGAATAGATCCAAGTCCTTTGTGTCGGCGTCACCTCGAGGGAAATGCTCCCAGTCCTGTTTCAGAAGCTGTTTTGATGCCTCTAAAGTCAGTTTCACAGCTGTATTTGGAAGAGCACTGGTACAAAGCTGCAAAGTCACTGCTGATCCGACCACATGGCTCAACACTTTAAATGCTATTGTTATTATATTATTACATACTGCATTCATCTGATAATTCTGCTCTGATGATCCACTCGTCACTTGATCTGCTGCTAAAGTAAAACATAAACATCTAAATACTTCCTGGTGCTGTGATAATAATACATCAAACTAATATAGTGCTTTTGCTGTTAGAACTTCCTGACAAATAATGAAACGTTTGGACCAACAGAACATTCTCACCCTGCAGGGACCGGTTCAGATTCATGGACATTTTGTTATTATTGCTATTATTTTCACTCTTTTTGCTGTGATTTGGGGCGACAGTAGCTCAGTTGGTAGAGCATTGGCCTTAAGGCCAGAAGGTCGTGGGTTCAATTCCCACCTCTGCACCTTCTCCATCGACTCCCACTGATGACTGCTGTCGTTGTGTCCTTGGGCGAGACACTTAACCCCACTTTGCCCAAAGCCCCCACTGAAAGATCAAGGCTATGCTCACACTCAGAGAGCAGCCGTCCTCCTGTGGACTCACCACCTGCAGAGGGTCAGTGAGGGGCTGGTGCTATGAGACTTGGGTGGCATCTCTGACTGCCACCCCCCTGACCCAGAAATGGATTAAAGGGTAGAAAATGGATGGATGGATGGATGGCTGTGATACACAAAGCAGGAAATGTGCTGGACCTTGGGGATAATTTTAGCTTCTGCTCTGAGACCGACACTTCTCTGTGACACCAGGAACCTGCCACACTGACCTTTTATCAAAACCTTTTACTTTAATCCACTGCACAGAAGTCTGAACTCACTCACTCACTTTGGCTCATATCGGAACACTAAAAGAACCAGGGCCAGACTCATGGGAATTCAGACACTGACTGACTTTCTTGCGTTGTTTTAACTTAAATTGATTTTATTATTATTGTTAGAGCTGTTGGTTAAACAAGTTTAACATTATTAATGCAAGTCATTTTAAAGACTTTTAAAGAATTCTATTATTGCGCGGTTCTTTTTGGCTGAGCACTTTGTTTTTTCACACAAGTTAAAGCTGCACTAACTCACTTTGTGACATTTTCGAATGTGAACGCTGGCCTCGCTCTTTCTGCTCCCCCTCCCCACACTCATGAAGCTATCGCCCCCCACTCAGCCTGTGCTCATGTGCTGTTGTTAACTTTACGGAGCTCACGTCTCACAATATGGATCGCACATTTGCACGTGGATGGTGTGACCATAGAATGATAATCCGGGAAGCGCGGAGGAACGAGACTTTTTTTTGGATGTCTGTTTCACTGTGTAAGCAGTAACCGGTCACGAAGACACGGGGAGTTTCAGGTTAGCCTCCGCCGCTTGTTTACCTCAGCTGTCTGTGCTAACCAGAGACCTGTGGCTTTTCTCAAGAAAGTGGGGGCCAGTGGTCCGCTGTGATTGGTCACAATCTGGACCCGAAACACATTCTCTTCCTTGTTGAACAAAAACTCGATGTAAAATAAAATGACACGCCAGCACAAACCTGCGCTACTTATTCTTCAAAAGGATGTATATCCCAATGCACTGCATGGATATGGATTGAATGTTCCTTATGAATACAAAAGTAAAGTGAGGTAATGCAGCTTTAACTATGACACTTATGTCATTAATCGCAATTAAATGTTTTATTCATTTGACAGCACTGCTATAAATACAGTATGTTTAAAAAATATAGATTCCCTTTGTTGATTTGCTTCTTCATCTAATACTGTATGTCTTTCCCTTTGACATGATCTCTCTGTGATGGCTGTCTTTCTTGCCACCCTCATGCCCCCTTCTGGCCGGGCGCTAGAACTACATTGTTCTCCGTCTTCGTGTAGACGTTGTGCACTTGAAAAAAGGAGCCTGGTCGTTTTTTCAAATTGCTTTGCAGCGTCTCCGCAGCGTCTCCGTCTAAACGGGGCCTCAGTGTCATAGTCCAGCCTGTTGTCTCTGTTTAAACCTCATATTTCTTCTCCCTCGCTCTCGCACCAACATTCTCCTCTCTAACAATGGTGTCTTTGTGTCGCTGCCGCCTGTGTTTTCATTTCATTTTTTATTGCTGTTGAGCTCCTCGAGTGGAGAATTTAATCAGCTCTCACTGGTTTCTGAGCTTCAAGAATGTTGATGATGGTCAACCGGGAGGCCCACAGCTGCGGACCGTGTTCCAGGAAGAAACACAACCTTCAACCAGAGACAAACGCACAAGTTTACAACTGACAAGTCTGCAACAGCACCTGTACCTGTACAGTGTGTCACCTGTTTCATTCCCACATATGAATCAGAAAACACAGAAATGTTTATGCTATATCTACTTACATCTTTATGTATATTTGTATCATCAGAGGGTAATTATCAAGTCACAAGATAAATACTCATTGCTCCAACTTTCCCACTTTTCTTTCTTTTTAGCTTATTTAATTTTCAATAGAATATGCAGTGTTTTATGCTTATGCTAAAGTTCTGTCTATATTAGCCCTTACAGCTTTGGAAATG